GGTCGAGTGGTCGCCATATCCGAGTGATAGCCATTACAGGTTTTACTGTAAGTGTCCAGCTTACACAATCCACATACATATCCAACAGGATATACACATTCTCACTTACACACATACTCACTTACACACACAAACACACACAAACACACACAAACACATACAAACACACACAAACATATACAAACACATACATGCACACATGCACGAACACACACACACCATTTGACCATTTGACGCCCATCGCCGGAGGCGATGATAGCGATGCTACAGCAGAAGCCATAGCAGCTTGTGCTGGGATTGCACCATTCAACAGCTTGCAAGGCTGAAGAATTGACCGCCAACACACACACACACGCACGCACACACACACACGCACACGCACGCACGCACGCACGCACCATTGACCATTGGACCATTGGACGCCCATCGCCAGAGGCGATGATAGCGATGCTACAGCAGAAGCCATAGCAACTTGTGCTGGGATTGCACCATTCAACAGCTTGCAAGGCTGAAGAATTGACCACCACTATTCAGCCTAGTCTACACCACACAGCTTTGAAGTGGCTTTTTTCTGGCCAGTGAATCCCTACTTTTTGGTCTTTTTTTCTTCTTTTTTCCCGCACACACATCACACCACATACTCCGGCATGCACTGGCTGTTGGTAACCACCCAGGAGAATGAAAGAAAAGTCAGGAAGAGTCTGAGAAAGAGAAGAAAGACGTGTGTGACCATAATCGTCGGGAATCGAACCCGCAACCTATCGATTGGAAATCGCTGCACATACCACTGCACCATATGGGACACACACAGGCATGCACACACACACACACATACACACACTGAAAATGCAGTGCCTCGGGGTACGGATGCTTTACCACACATCTTCGTAACAGTCAATTAAGGGTCATGACGGTACAGAAGCACACAGAGGAAACACTCCAAATGTGCGAGTGCTCTACCGCACAAACAATAATATACTTGCAGAAGAAGCACAACTTCCTTATGCTGGGCCGCAATAGGGGTTTGTCGTCTGCATTCCCATTGTGTACTTGCATTAGAGTCGGGTGGACTCATCCACGCTTGTCAATAGTATCCACAATACTATACACATAGTGCACAAGCACAGGTGTATTAGGTTTCAGAATGCTCTGTCTCCATATCAACGTGTTTAGCCTAATTCTCGAACTTGACAGCTAGTTTGTAGTGTATTTTACGTGTTGATAACAAAGTTTAAACAAACACTCACAAAAGTACAGTGATTCAATTGGTAAACCCTAGTCTAAAAAGTTAAAAGCAGCAGCACAAGTGATTTCACTAACCGAACCCAACATCTCCGAACGCCAGCTGCAGCCGCAGTGCCAAGTCGTCGCTCATCTGCATGATGACCGTGTCGGGAGAGTTGTCCGCGACCAGCAGTGGGTCGCCGGTGTCCTCACCCGTGTGCATCGCCACGGCCTGATGATTGCTGTCGCCGTGCGCCGCTGCCGCCGTCGTATCCTCATTCTCAAACCATTGCTCCTGCAGCTGCTTGGCCATGCGCTCATCATCGCTTAGCCGATGGCCAGCGTGAGTGGATGGCGATGCAGCGAGTCCCGCCTGGAGGTCACTTGATCGTATAAGATTCTCAGAATCACTATCCACCTCCATATCCATGAACGCCTGCGGTCGGCCAAGCTGATCACTAGCTCCAGCTGCAAAGTGTGACGGTCGTAGAATTACGCCGTCATGCTGATCAATACCGGAGTTCTCCACCTCACCACCGCCGTCACCAGTGGTAGACTGAACGAACCCGTCATCGTCCTCATCAAGCAAGCTCATCATTGCCAGTGATGCATCGCCACTGCTCCGGCGCAACGCCTGTACCAGCTCACGGACGGAGTGATTGGGAAACGCTTCCACGAGGAATACCACATTGTCCGTTTCCACCTCGTCTTGGCACAGGTCTGCATCATCTTCCTCTTCTTCTGCTGGAGGTGCTGTTGCCATTGCTGCTGGGCGTGTGGTTGCGACTGCTGCTGATGCAGTAGCTGATGCCACTGATGCTGTCCCTGCATTGGCTGTTGACTGGACACTATGCCCATCAAAGCCGTAGTCAGTCCGAGTGAGCTCACTGGCTAGTTCCTGCTCAGAGACTTCGTAGCGCAGCGGTGGCGAGCATGCCATAGCATGTGCACCACTGACTGCTGGTGCTTGCCCTTCGAAATCAGCAACCTGGTCCAGTGAAGATCGAAAGGAAGAGGTCTTTGCAGGAGCGCTCTCCAGACTGAGAGGACCGGACCCTAAGCTGGAGGGCGACGACACAAGATCAAGTGGGTCTGGTTCGCTCACATCGCTCGTCTGCAAGCAGGAGAACTTCACGGATTCGGTCAGTGGAGAAACGTCCTGGTAGGGTGGAGAGACCACCACTGCTGCTGCTGCTACCTCTACCGTCCCAGGTTCAGGCGTTACGATTACTATAGGTTCTATCAGTGTTTCCGTAGCAACAGCACCAATGATACTGGCGGCTTTGCTCCTGTTCACGGGCTCGTCTGCACCCACGGCACTGCTTGACGGCTGCCCTGAAACTGCAGTCAGAGAATCCAGTGCTATATCAGAAGGTGGCAAGGATGCGGATTCTGAGGCGCTGATCACCCTTCGCAGTCGGGCGCCTGGCGCCGGTAGAGATAAGTCAGGCGAGAACGACGGGACCGACTCTGCACGCTCCACTAACCGAGGCCTGCTGGACGGTCTTGGGAGGTTTGAAAAGCAAGGTGCCAATCTGAAACGTGGGCTAGGCAGTGAGGCATACGGTATGCTGTGTATTTCTTGTGCATTGGGCAGGCCGGTGGTGGGTTCCGCAGTGATGATTAAGTTCTCCTCTGACATTGCAGAGGCCGCCGCAATTTGTTCATTCGGCGCAGCATTCAGTACGGAACTGCCAATGGAAGGTGCTGATGGCGGACGCTGGCGTACCGGCAAACGCACTGAGTCTTCATAGGCTGGTGGAGCCGGCTCTTCATCCACGGATTCATAGCCTGTGGACGGAAACAGCTCTGTAATGGATGGCCCGTCTGCTTCCTCCACCTGCACAGGGAAACCACCGGTACTTCTACCGGCACCGCATGACAGCAGCGGACTGCTTACGGACACCGTGGCAACGTCGGGAAGCTGATGTTCCCGTGAGTGGCTGAGGTCATGCTGACCTGAAGATTGCCCACTAGAGCACTGCGTGGGCATGGGCACGGATGAATCGCACTCATCAGCAGCGACCGGATTGTCACAAGTGGCCAATGGCGACTCGATGTCCATGTCACAGCTCGTCGAATCGGACATGTTCTGTTCTCTGGCCACGAGGCGGGCCAATGCTGCTTCGCTGCGTACCTGGCCTCGTGTAGTATCAGTGCTGCTTGGAGGAGAGTAAGGACTACCAGCCAGTTCCGAGCCAGCCATCACGGACGTTGCAGGTGACTGGCACAGGATCTCGCTACTGTTGCTTGGAGGAGAGTACGGAGTGTTACCAAGGCCACTGATCCCACGTGCTTCATGACGGTTACTGGAGTCAGGAATAGTTCCCTGACCAGGTACACGTTGGGCGGAGTGCTGCGCACTGGCATCACGCGGCACAGTGTGAGGCTGTGGTCGTATCTCCTCGGCCACCGCCGTTGCCGCCGAGTCCACACGGCCGCAGTCATCAGGCGAGGACATGGCCACTTGCGGTGGAGACACTGGCACATCAGACACCGTGTGGACAGATACGCCTGGAGAGTACGGAGAGTCTGCCATGCCAGGGGTGGGTGACTGTGACGAGTGAAGCCTGTCAACGTGCAGACTTCTACGCTGGCTGCTAGTATCTTCAAAGAGCCAGTTTGATGGAGACACCTTAGATGCAGACGAAGGGGGAAGGTTGACAATGGGACCACTCAGCTTGACTGGTGAGACATCACGGACACCAGCGGGTGTTGATAGAACCTCATGGGAGACACTGGAGTCTGGATGGTGCCTTACGAATGCCGGCGCCCTTGCAGACGATGCAATTGCGTCACTTCGATTCGTCTGGCCTCTGGATTGCACGTCCAAATGGGTCACTGGAACGAGAGGATGGGGAGTACTTGTGCTGGCAGCTGGCGACGCATCTCCTCCGCTAGCAGCGGCAGAGGCACTGCCCTGGGCAGGAACACTGCCTCTTGGTCTGGGCGGAGGGCGTGATTCCATATGACCGGGTGGCCGTACTGTGCGCCCAGGTGACGCGTGGTGGTGATCGCGCTGCGGTGATGGACGAGATTTGCTTTTCGGCGCGGCAGCACCCACAATGGCGTTGATAGTGGCGTCTGTACGGAACCGGTCTTTCATCAAGCGGATCTTGTCCGCAGGCACTCCGTGCGAGTTGCGTCTGCACAGCAAACATCAAAGCAATGAAACGTCCTAATGCCTATTGTTGGCGATTGTTGGAGGCGGCAACCTGGAGTTTTCTAACGGCTGTAGAGCCATTAATCATAACATTTGACCAAACACTGACTGAGTAATGAAGGCTTTACCGACCGATCACTGATGAACATGAACGATGCACCGACGGTTAAGTAAATATACATGTGGCAAGTGGGATTGGTACTGCACGTACAGAACACAGTATTCAGTTACTCAGCAGGAGCACAGCACTCCACACAGAACAGACACAACATTCCCTACACTACGGACCAGACGCAACAAATTGTAAGAGAACCAACGAGCAAAGGACAACATTTAATGTGGACATTGGTGAGACAACTAGGGAGAAAGTGTGAGCTATGCATTGGTGAGACAAATAGGGGGAGCGTGTGAGTGTAGTGACTATGCATTGGTGAAACAACTAGGGGAAAGTGTGAGTGTAGTGATGATGATGATGATGATGATGATGATGATGATGATGATCATGATCATGATCCCGTCCGCGATGCTGTTGGGGACACCCGCCAGCTGGCACGCTCGACTCGGACAAGCAAAATGCGGAGCCTATGCAGCCGGCAACAAGACATTAAGGCGGACTTGAGCTCGGAGCAACAATTTCTTGTTGAAATCGCGTCCGAAAAGGGAGTATCGTCATGGTTGACTGTTGCCCCGCGGTGGCAAGATGGAACCATCCTGAAGAAATCCGACTTCCGTGATGCCCTGTGCATCCGCTATGGGCGAAGGTTGAGTGGGCTACCCGATTCATGTGTTTGTGGTGTGCCTCTCAGCCCCGCTCATGCACTTACCTGTGCCACTGGCGGCTATACCATTGCCCGTCACAATGAGGTGCGGGACTTGGTTGCTGGACTACTGAGGGAGGCTGGAGTGGTGGACGTAGAGACGGAGCCCCGGCTATTGCCCTGCAGCAGTGAGCATTTGCCTGGTGGTCGTTCCCTCAACCGATGCGCAGAAGCTCGTCTGGATGTGCGGGCTCGCGGCTTTTGGTCGTGGCAACAGGACGCTTACTTTGATGTGCGGATCACTCATCCCGCAGCGTCTGTGTTGTCTCGATCACAAGCCCTGAGTCAGCTGAAGTCTCACGAGCGAAACAAGAAAAATCAATACGCCAGCCGTGTGGTTAACGTGGAGCGCGGCTCCTTCACGCCACTTGTGTTCTCGACGTACGGCTTTAGTGGCCCAGAAACTACTCAATTCCTGAAATCATTGGCCTCCCTGTTTGTTGAGCGCCATACTGAACTGAAGTACCCACTAGTAATGGGCATACTACGCACCCGTTTGTCTTTCTGCTTGCTGCGATGGGCAGTCACCTGCTTCCGCGGTTGCCGCGGTTCGTACGGCAAGAGGCGACAGCCGAACTCATTTCTGGCCCAGTGCCGCCAGGCGGAGTAGGGTGCTGCCTTTGGCCTCAACTTAATATAATGCTATTTGGTTTTTCCCCTTTTATTACTCTGTGTTCATTGCTTGTTTTTGTATTGATTTACTTCCTTGACTGCTTTTGTGTTTCATCATTTTCCGGTTGGTTTTGTGTTGATTTCCCCTGTTCACTTTACATATTGTAATGATATACATTTGCTTTGCCCGTAAAAGAGGCTTTTCTCATGATGATGATGATGATGATGATGTTTTGTAAGTCAATCTCATTCTCCACGCTTTGCTGTCATTTGGTTATGTTTTAAAGTAGTTTTTATGACCTGATGTTTGTTTTTTATATTTGTAGTTCTATTGTTGACATCTTGTGTCTTTTCTGTGGGTTAAAAGGTTAACTTCATCCTCGTTTTCCTATTGCCTTGTATTGGAATTTGCCCATAAAAGTGGCTACGGTGTGATAATGCATTTCTATAAATTATTTCGTGTTTTAACATTATTTTCAGAAAATTGCTCTTACAATACCTTGCGTTTTATATTCATAATATTGTTGCCCGTAAAAGCGGCTTGGTCACATGATGATGATGATGATGATGATGATGATGATGATGATGATCATGCTAATACGTGAAAGAGTTGTGACAAAGCTTCCAATCTCTCTTGTGTAGTGACTATGCATTGGTGAGACAGCTTTTTTTCTAAGGAGAAAGTGTGAGTAGTGAGTGAAGTGACTGTACATTTGTGAGACAACTAGGGGAAAGGTGTGAGCATAGTAACTGGATCTTTCTGTATGCATAGGTCTGACACAAGCCAGATACTTTGCTTGCTAGTTCTCTCACAACTTTCGCACAGAGTTTATAATGTCGTCAAGCCATTTAGGTCTCTTTGTGCCTGTATCGTTCGCACCAGGTGGCTACACACTGAACATCAATAGACGTGACGCAGCAGGGACGGGAAAATGTTATTTTATATCGCCCAGTAATATACACTGTCTGAGCCAGACCCATATCGTCCTATCAACGTTGTGTGTGTCTGTGTGTGGGGGAGTACAGACAGTAGAAACTCTGATCTCACCTGGCTAACTCCTGCACATTCCATTTCCAGCTGGTAGTGGGTTCTCTGATCTCAATCTCGTAGCCACCATCTCTTGCCTACAGCATAGAAATCATCAAGGAAAGCAAACCACTGATAGAAGTCCAAAGGGACGTCACAGCATGTAACAGCATGTCACAGCATGTACATGTTGCACTCGAACTACAGTACTGTTGGGTGCCGAAGAACGACCAGGCTAGGATTTCACCATGCACAGCATACCAATGTATACACGGTGATTCAACCGTGCATAGAGCTACGAGGCCGACCCCCCCCCCCAGTTCTTCGGCGACCAACAGTAATGTAGGCACCACCCTGCTGCTGAGAGATACAGGAGGGGGGGGGATTGACAGGGGGAAAGATTGCACCACCCTGCTGAGATAGTCGGGGGGGGGGGGGGGGGGGGGGGCAGAGACAGGGGGAAAGATTAATTTTTAAATTTTTATTCCAAGCAATACATGGCTGGGGTAGCCAATGACCACTTTGCGTGGCGATTGCAGGGATTTTATAGCCAACCACGGCTAACAAGGAAACGAGTAGGACGTCAAAAAGAAAAGGAAAAGAAGAAAGAAGCAAATATGCACCACTCTGCTGAGATAGTCAGGGGGGGGGGGGGGCAGAGACAGGGGGAAATATGGTACTGCCGGACTGGTCATTGAGCTCACTCCAAAACACGTAAGATAAGAGAGAGGCTAATCGTGCCAAAAAGCAAGCAGGCAGGACATACCATCACAACATACGGCTTCATCTCCCAAAGCTGCGTGTTGGTATTGTCCACCACGATGGGTGACACACCCTTCGCAACATGATCTTTAGCTGAGGGAAGAAAAGAGAGAATGCCAAAAAAACAACTGCTGCTTTCAATAAAACAGCACAGAGGGGAGCTCAGGGCTCTCGTTTAGCTGGCCGTGTTCACCAACATGGGAATCTCAATGGTCAACGATCATCCATACTTTACAACACATGTACAACACAACTTTGGAAAGGGACCATTCCTGGAACTTACAAAAAAAATGGTATCTTCTCGACGGCAGAGCGCAGCGACAGAGGCGAGAAGTATTTTCTTGTCACAGCGGTTTTTTCTTGTGTTTTTCTCACAAGTGAGCAGTCATCTGATCAATTTTTTACTCGTACATTTTCCCATCTTCACATGTTCTCTAGTCCGCTGCGCATGAGCACGACTGGCCAGTCGTCTTGAGGTACCCACCCTCCCTCCCTGTTTTTTGTACTTGTCAGATTAGGCTCTCCAGTATAGCCACTTGGGGTTTTACACCCGGTTTTTTCCCTCAAAAAAATAATGCGTTCGTCGGCGCGAGGGTTTTTTCCTGGCTGGCTCGGCCCAGACGAATTAATCTGACGGTCTCAAGTGGTGCTTCTGGTTTTTCGGTCATTGCTCTCTCAGTTGCTGCCATTGCGTTGCTTTCATAGACTATACTTCTGGCCCTCCTAACCGCAATACATATGTGCTGTTGTTTGGTGTGCGGTGAGTGTGGCTTATCGCTGTGCGAGAATATCTATTCTGTTTGTTTAGCCACCTATCATCTGATAATAATTGTTATACTGATATGCTAGTTAAATAGCAACCTATAAAGTTACGTGCATCTTTATGGACTAAAGACGTCTGCACACACACACACAACAGATATGCACACACAAACACACACACGTGCACGCGTACACACACAGAATTGTACAAACAACTGCACGTGTACACACACGGAATTGTACAAACAACTGCACGTGTACACACACGGAATTGTACAAACAACTGCACGTGTACACACACGGAATTGTACAAACAACTGCACGTGTACACACACGGAATTGTACAAACAACTGCACGTGTACACACACGGAATTGTACAAACAACTGCACGTGTACACACACGGAATTGTACAAACAACTGCATGTGTACACGCACGGAATTGTACAAACAACTGCACGTGTACACGCACGGAATTGTACAAACAACTGCACGTGTACACACACGGAATTGTACAAACAACTGCACGTGTACACGCACGGAATTGTACAAACAACTGCACGTGTACACACACGGAATTGTACAAACGACTCTACCTTTAGATTGGCACCACTCATGAGCACGTCCGATCTGACTCGGATCAAATTCATACCTGGACAAGCAAACAACACAAGCCAGCATTGCCACCACCTCCAAAGAACACAGGGGGAGTGTGAGTAGTCTGGGGATGGGACTATACTACGAGAAGCATTCACCGGATTCGGGTGCATGAAGCAAGGCTGATGTTGCCTTTTGCTCCTCACAGATCACTGAAGCCAGGATTTCCAGTACAGTCAGCTTTAAATGCACAGAACTGTTGTGAACTGAAGCTGATCATGCAGAACACACAGGGGTTCTTGTCGTAAGAGTGGACCCAAAACAGCACATACAGTACAGTACTGCCATGCATGCTGCAAGTGCGGCTACAGCGGGTGCCAAAGCATGGGTGCGAGAAGTGCAAATTTAGCGAAGAACATCCCTCACCGGCCATCGCGCATGAAGTAGTAGTCTGCCGACACGATCTGTCCTCTCTCACTGCTAAGCTGCCTACAAGGAAAAGACAAAAAGAATGAATGCTGAATGAGTCAAATTGTTGAAGGGGCAATCAATTGAAAAATTGAATCGGGGTTCATCAATAGTTAGCACCACCCCGAGTCAGAATCGAAAGGGATTTGCTCTCCATTGAGTAGAGTCTATAATTGACCGAGAGTGTGCCGCCCTATTCCAATGCCCTCTTGATGATGTCAATATGGTTTGCATCGCTAACTTTCAGTCACGATATTCCGCTGACGATGGTGACATGAAAATCGATTTTGGAAAACCTTGATGACTAGACTATGTTGAAATGTGGCATGTGTGATCATTATGTTGACGACAGAATTCATTTTATTTGTTGCTATTTTACCATTGTTGTCTCCACGTGGTTTATTTCTACTGGTAATCAACTACTTACTTTGCCAGATACGACTTGCCGCTGCCCGGTAGGCCGCGGAGGATGTACATGATTTTTTCCGGTGCTCGCCTGCTCTCCACCAGCACGGGTCTTGCCGCTGACGTTCCACAGTCGTCAGCAGCAGCAGGCCAGTGGCGCGGTGTGTCCGCGGTCAGCACCAGAGGTGAACACTGGTAGCTGTTCGACATGGTCGTCCGTTGATGATAGCCGTCGCCAGATACATCGCTGAGCCCAGCATGCTCCCGCGGATGACCAAAACTTGGCTGGCTAGACTGTTGTGCATGTTGGCTAGAGGAATTCGCGCCGCTAGACCAAAGCGATCCATGCCTGTTGACCTCACTGCCCGATAACGTTGTGTAAGCGTTTTCCTCGCTCCGCCGACTGTCGTACACCGGTTGAACGGGTGAGTAGTGCACATGTGATCGTGTAGCTGAAGCATGAAGTGCTTCGCTCTGTGAGGACACACCAGTGGCCGCGGCAGGAGACACGGAGAACGTACAGGCACGGACGTCTTCGGCCGAGAGCGGCGCTGCCACCCCGGGAAAGATACGTTTGTCAGGCTGTCGCCGGTCTGACGGCACCCCAAGCGGACTGAGAGTCTCTGCGGGTCGCTTCTGACGCTGGCTCTGCATGCGCACCATGCCGTCAGGAGACACCTGCACAGCTGCTGTCGCAGCTAGCCCGTCCGGGGTGGTGTCCTCGCCAATACTTGTGACATCCACTGCAGCGGCCCCCGCTAGTTCTGCATTCACCTGGCGCTGCAGTGTGTCTTCAGACACTCTACCAGCAACAGCAGCAGCAGAAGAAGCGGAGGGAGTGAAACCCATCTCTAATGATGTCGGGAAAGAACTGTTGCCCAGTGGTATGTCTTCATCAGCGCTGCACTCCAGTCTCAGGCGGTCGAGTTCACTACTATCATGCTCGGGAGACACGGTCTTGCCATCGGAACTAGTCATTTCCATTAATACCTGAGCGGCATCGGCAACTGAAAATAAGCAATGGAGAGGGAGAGAGAGGGAGAGAGAGGGAGAGAGAGAGAGAGAGAGAGAGAGAGAGAGAGAGAGAGAGAGAGAGAGAGAGAGAGAGAGAGAGAGAGAGAGAGAGAGAGAGAGAGAGAAAATTTAGCCCAGAGACAGTACATGTGCTCAGTATTTCAACAAAAAAATATCTACAGATACATAATTATAGAGCACAACCATTGGCAAAACAACTTCAAGGATAGACCCCACAGGTACATTCCAAGAGGCTGTCGTGAGGGTCCCCCACAGAAATTCGCGATCTCACAGCCGTGACGAATTCCACAAATTCTGCCACATCAAGTTTTCTCAATATCATTGCAGTCTCTGCAGAAGAAAGTAGAACTAGCAGGATCAACGATTGTCTAGTTGTGCAGAAGAGGTAGTACAGCCCTAGTGGTTGCACACGGCCCACATATGATGCTACCAGGGAGTACTAAATTTTTCCGACATATTTAAAACTAATTTTTAGTGTTCAACCGGGTAGCGTGGGTACCCTAGATGATCGACCCAATAGCAGTCGGGTACTTGATACCAACTGAAAGAGAAAAAACTACACATTTCAACATTCTACATGAATAGCGTGAGCAGTTCAGACCAGGGGGTCGTCGACTCCATGGTTCAGACAAGAAATACGATCAATCAGTACATGCATGGTATGCGTATGGCTCCCTCTGAACAAAGTCAGTGAACGTGACCACCACTGCCCCCTTTTCAAGTACAAATTGTTCTAGTTGTGCTACATATTGTGCTAGTACCGTAAAGTACCGTTAATCCGCCCCCCCCCCCCCCCCCCCCCCCCACACCACACCCACACGCCCCCCACACCATGTTGCTTCCCAGCTGGGTTTTCGGCAGGGGCGGGAATTAGATCAAGGCTGTCAAGTGCAGTACGATGTACAACAACGTGGAGGATCAGACTCGATGTGCTGGATTGTGCACATTTTCATCCTGGATTGGCATGGATTGTGTACAGCAGTGCATGCGTCGGTTCAACATCGTATTTCATTGTATACGCCGAAGTCGCTTCACAGGTAGAAAATCGACAGGGGGCGGATCAACGGTACTTTACGGTGTGCTCAGTAAGATCTTTTCATTTTGATTTCATCGTCGCGTTTCATCCCATGTATCTTTGGTGTTCTTCCTTCTTTCCATGTCGTATTGTTTGAATAAACCGGTTTCTACCACAGAAAACCAGGGTGTAGCACAATAGGTATTGTACTACTCCCTGCAGAAAACAGACCGTACTCGTAGTTTGTACATCTGTATTGTGGCGACCCTGCATCAGAGCACCTCTGCGGTGTGGTGACCATGTACCACCAGCAAACTTATAGCCGTCATTTTGCCTCGGCAGTACCTACGACAGGCATTTGCTGGTGTGACGAGGGGACTACGCTGACTATACTTGAGTTACGCGTCGGCGTACCGATGTACGTATTTCACGCCAGGATTGCACACGCAAATGTCCCACCAGGGCCACCACCAGCGTAGTCATGTGACCATAGGATAGGGGAAATGGACCCTTCCCAGGTAAATCCTCTTCAATACTTCATGCAACCCACGTATATTTCAACCGTACAGACTTTCAACCTGGGTTGAAATTCTCATGTACATGTAAAAACAGTCATAGTACAGTCATGTACTCGCCGACTTGCTAGCTACACACAGTTGACTCGTTTCGATGTTTGGACCAAGCTTGGGACACACGGACAGGAGCTGGATCATGGAGAGGGTCACATGTGTGCGCTTTACGAGAGAACATACATGACATACAAGTACTATAAAAAACAAGGAGAAAACTTCAAAAGTACGCCAACCCTACCTCCCTTGCACTGGCCATACACCAGTCTTATGACACCCTCATCGATGGTGCTTTTGAACATCTCCAGGAGCAGGGCTTCATCGCCATCGGTGGACTCAGCCATTGTGAATTAACAGAAATCTGAGTGTGGACCTGACGATGGAGAGTTACTAGCATACTAGTACACAAGGTTTAGGACCATCCTACTGCGTAAACAGTGCGTCTAAACGGAAAAATACACAGTCGTGTGCAGGTTGTTTTCTTCCTCCCGCGCTCATGTAGAGATGCCAGATCAGAGGCAGACGATCCAAGACGTAGCTAGAAAGCTTTGCAAGCTCACACACATACACAAAGCTTTTGAACTAAATTGAAGTGTATTTTTTGCTTCGAAAGTCGAAAGTTTCAGCAGCATTACTCATGCATTCGTTGGATACACACGAATGACGTCAGCATGACCATGCATGATCTGAGCGCCACATACAAAATCTAGAAGTAGTTACCTTACGTGGACAGTTCGTGTACCTTCGATAGCTCAGTTGGTAGAGCGGAAGACTGTAGTGGCTTCTTGTAAGCAGTAATCTTTAGGTCGCTGGTTCGAATCCGGCTCGAAGGATTTTTTCTTCTTTTTTTCTTTTTTCATTGTGAGTACTAGTACATGGACAGGTGTCTCCCGGCACGGTTCAGAGCAAAACAATTGATCCTGGACGTCCGGCTTACAATGAATGTCACTGTACTCGGTGTTCTGATGTTATTGTTGGCTGCTTGTACGCACGGCGGGCTGCACACTGCCACACAGTGAATGGTTAAAAAGCAAACTGGTCACGAAACGATAATTATGATTCTGTTCGTGAGTCATTAAAATGATATTGGCACTGATATCATTTACACCGAGGCCCATGGGCAGCCTTGGAATTCCTTTTTTCCTTGCACAGCCCACGGTCCGCATTTCTCACCGTATACCTGTAACAGCTTCAATAGTAATTTTTTTTAAATAATGTTTTGTTCGGTCAAAGAAGATAGCGTCGGGCTAGTACTGCGATACAAAGTTGAAACTTACAGTGCGCTGTATGCAAAAATAATTTTGATTCATAAATGGAGAACTGAAAAAATTTAAAAGCTACTCTTGGGCTTGAGTCATGGCTGTCACTCATTTTAATACTCATAATGCTCTGGTCATGGCGGTGTCACGGAACGGACCTAAATCAAAACTGGACTAGGAAATAGATTAATGCATTCGAGAGCTTTCATCAGCAAACATTCCGCGGGAAGCATAATAATCCAGCCGTACTTCCTTAGCGACCTTCTATGTTACATGTACGTGGTAGCGGAGCACTGAATATAGTCACCATGACAATACAATAACAATACCATAACAATACCAAGCCCACCGCCATATTATCGGGGGAAGATAATGGTGGCAATATATAATTTCATAACTTTGTCACGTGCAAATTTCCTCAAAACTTGGTGCGGCACAGAGTAGTGGAAGATGCCAATAGCAGCAACAGACTAACGGCGACAGTTGGCTTCGACAGCGGCGGCTTGGAGAAGTCAAGTTGACACACCCTTAGTTTCGGCTCAAGACTGGCCCACTTACGGTGATAGAGGATCAAGAACCTTGCAGGCTACAGATAGACATACCTTGTCAGAACAATAATCAATGTGACTCTAAATTGACCTGCTCCGCCGAAAGTGCATGGGAGCGGCAGCAGCAGTAGCGTCGGCAAGCAAACATACTGTGCGCCCGGGGCGTGTCATGTGCATATAGAACTGTCTTGATTCCCTATCCTCGCTCAGGACAGCTGTGTACGCGGCGCACAGCCAGTGCGAGCTGAGATGAAGCAGATGGCCGAGAGGGTTCACGACGTCACCACTACGAGTATGCGCTTGCTGGCTATGCTGCGCTCTAGTTCATCATCATTCCAGTGTCATCGCATCAAGCATCAGAACTGCATTGTGCCTTGGCCTTTGCGAAGTTGATCTAGCTTCCACTGCAGCAGCCCAATCCACTCGTCCGCCTCCTGTGCCGAACCGGCGAACATGAAGAATGTCCGACCGGGAAAGACGAGCCGCATGCAGTTTGTCTTGCCGTGTGTGGTGTCACGTGCTACTTCTGTAGCCTGCTGTAGGTCAAGCGCTCTCAGCGGTTCACTGTCGCCCCGTGCTCGGTAGTAGCGCAGCTCGTTCTTAACCAGGACAAACCAGCGCGTCAGCCAGTTTTTTCGGTGGCCGCCCATCTTGGTTAGATAGCCTTCCTTGGACGCGATTGCAGTAGGCGCCGGGTTTGGCCCTGCTGGCGTCTCGTCACTCGACGTGCGGCCCCACTCAGCGTGTACACGGACGGTCTCGTACGCCGGGGGTTCATCCACAGTACGCGGATACGGGTATTTCAGCAGAGTCAGAACGCCCGACTCCCCGCCAATCAGAGGTTTGTTCTCAAAGTGCTCAGCAAAGTCTCTGAGGGTCTTGAAGCGTCCCATTCCGAACGCATACTCGCGACCATCCCATGTGATACTGATGTGCTTGACGCTGTTCGCACATCTTACAGATAACGAGTAGTCGCCAGGCTTGGTTGTGCTGGTTCTCAGCAGGTAGCTACCGTCCACGCCGTTCGCCATCAATAGGCCCTCGGCGACGTGCCTGGATATGTCTTTGTGAAACCACTCCAGGTCTTCAATGTCCGTTGGAGACGTGGCCATTTCGATAGCCTCCTTTCAAGGTCACAGATCTAACTCTAACAACTCCTACAGGTGGAACTCTAGCACCACCACCACCACCACCACCGCTGATTCCTAGACACAGAGGTTTAGAGTTATCACAAGCGACGAACTGTTCTCTACAAAGCACCGCTGCAAGCAGGAAACTCAACAACAGCGCTGCTCCGCTCGTTGGCGGCGAAAATCACTCGTGAAACAGTCAGCACCAGTCGAACTGCTATCATTTGGTCGGAGAATCAGCAGTTGATTTTTGTACGCAGTCTAGGACGGTAGGTAATACGCTGCTGGGACCTAGATAGCGTGACAGCGTCGATGATGGGCTTTCCTTCTTCTTTATCTTCTACAGCAGTCCCTACGCTTGCTTGCCACGACACGCTTCATCAAGTCGTCGCCTAACCACTTTGCAAACCTAGCGTGACTGCAAGTGCAAAAGAGCAGTCATTGGACATTAGTACAGCTCTACACTTTCGAGTTTCGTTCCCATCTTTGACTTCATCGAATCACATCAGTAACTGGTGGGTCGGCTAACTCACACTCACACTGTCACAGGCCAGCCGCAGCTCGGGCACACGACACGCAGGCAAATCGCAAATACGGAGATTTTACCATGTTGACAGTCAGCGTGGGCCTGTGTAGTCTGTGGCAGTTTACCTGTTTAGTTGGTGAGCGCGAGCGAGACAGCCAGTGTAGCTTGTTGAATATTGTTGTAGCTCCGCATAGGGCCAGGGCGCTAGGGCTAGGGCAGGGGGACATGCTCGTAGTCGTACAATCAAACCGTGCAGCATAATCATTGATGATAATGCGCGACTGCGAGCCGGGACTGGAGTGGAGACTCGCGTTGTTGGCCGTCTACCGACCGGCATAGGTTTGTCCGTCGTAGATCTGGGGTTGCACCGTCTCGATAGCAAGCGAATAGTTCTACGCATTGACTTTAGTTTTTCAATAATGATTGATGGGTACTGGAAATTACTTGTCTGAGTTGTCTCATGGCTTGAAGGTCGAGGGACGATTCGTGGTGCGTCGCCTGACGAGATGGATGCTTTCTTCTTTCGGCTTCAAGTTAGCGAAGGTCTTACACTCTTCCTTGCTTCTCTGTCTTCTGCGTCGCCCAACTAACTTCGAGCACTTGTAAGTAGATGTAAGGCTCTGCCTCTAGCTCTGGTCTCCTTCCGTCGTGTTGCCACTGCCTGTGTAGGATCGGGCGAGCAGTAAACATAAGCTCAATGGCCCGTTGCAGTTTAGCGGTCGGACGCTTTGCCACGGCAAGCAGGTCATGTATTTCGATGGTCCTCATACGACCTGGGGAAGTCCATATTTGGAAAGCCTGCGCTAGAAACCATTTCCTGTTCGAGGCGGACAGACATGGGTGGTGCGGTCGACGCGTCGCGGGGTCCATGGCCACACATTCAACACGGACAACAGGTGAAGTCTAGCAACAGGTGGAGAGTTGTAAGTCATGTGACGTGGGGCTATTCCTGGATGGCACATGTACATGTACATCGTATCCCAGAAATCCCGGTGACAGCCTCATTCGCAAGCAACAATTAATTTACATGCCTGTACTGTGACTATTGTACATGGCATAGGCGGCCGTGGCGGAGTCCTCAGACAGTAGATAAAGACTAACGACACACGTTAGACTATAGTCGTAGCTGCTCCTCGTGTGTAATAACCAGACATTGCCATGAAACTCAGAGTACTAACAACAAAACAGAGTTTCTCGCCAATGTGAACTTGTGTTGCAGGCTCCTCTGCTGATCTGATGAGCACTCATGCGCAAGTCAACGGACACTCCGCTTTGTAAAAATCAGACTTGTAATTAGTGCTGATCCAACGCTCTACACTGCGGACGAGTATGTAAAAAGTAAAGTTTGCACGTCCGCGTTACCACCGGCTATAAATTGCGTTGAGAGTATAACTAGAAAAGCGTCGATTAGATGGGGGCGGCGCACGTGCTCCAAAATGCCAGCTTGACCAATCAGCAGTCAGCATTTCGTCGCATTTTTGCTCGAAGTAGAAGTAGGGGGTGTTGATTTGTATACAGTTGATCGACAGAGTGCAAGGCTGGGAAGCCTGGGTGGTTGACACCGCAATATTGCGGCTTCTGCACGCCACATACTCAGACCAATACAAGCTGATATTCTTAGTAAAGGTTTTGTTTTGTCGTTGTGGTCTAGGTCGAGCGCCGAGTGTAGCTTGGCCACGTGGCACGTGCACCATGCAATACGTGTACAATACAGTGCAGCTCTAGTCTAGCCTCTAGGTGGCAATACATTATTATTTTGTCATACACCGACTACGTACAGCCAAGTAGAAGAAGGTGGCTGCTCTCGCGCTTTCTACCGCCGAAGTCGCAACATCTCAGTTCGTACAGCCAAGTAGTACAGTGGCAATACATTATTACGATGTAAGCTGTACCAGTCATGTATTGTAAAACAGGTGCCACATCAGAAGGATCATACTCTACAGCACTGTGTGCAGTAGCAGAGAAAATGGCCGACTCATTACTCCTTTTCTGTCAGCTCCGCTGTCGCCCAAACCACCCCATTGTTCATAGACGGTGTACTTGTGCCGCGGCTCAAACTAATACTTGCGCACTTCATCAAATAGCCTTCCCGCCTCCATATTTATTACGGGGCCCATATGTTAGCCGTTAATTACTTATAATTGGGTTTCCTCTCTCTCTCTCTCTCTCTCTCTCTCTCTAGTACATTGTATGCTGGCCGCAGAGCACGTTTTTCGCTGATTCTACCCGCAGCACAGGCAACTTTGCCTCTGTTTCTTGCTTTCTCGGAATGGCCGCTCCTTCTTCCTCATACCACCAAGCTCACGTCACGCCCCAGAGTCAAATCAAGAGTACATATTAAACCTTGGGGGGTTATGTACTCTTGGAGTCTTGGTCAGATATAGCGCACACGATGCCAAGTACAACCGGAGAGGGTTGTGTATTCTTGGTTGGGGTGATCGGCAACTTCAAGGTCAAACCACAGAAAGTTGTGATTAGAAATTGTTATACCGTAGACCCGTAGTGTACAATGCAGATTGGGAGAGCGTGAAGAAAGAAAGGACAGAGGCTGAATGAAGGACAGTAGAATGATGTGAAGGCTCCAATCCGACATCAATAGCCTCGGAAGTGGTGGTTTTAACAAACAGAAACACATCCAGGAAGGTAGTCATGCCGACTCCTTGTCTCTGGTTTGCATGTACCGGTTAGTACCGGTAGTACCGGTAGTTGGACTTGGAGCATGGTAGACCTGGGCTACAGTACGTAGCTACGTAGAGCTAAGAGGTGAAGACCAGGCGTGCGGGTGGAGTCGCGTGAGTGGCTTGCACTGGCTACACTTCCTAACACATCGCTAGAACAGTCCGAATCAGGGAGTAGTACACTACCAATATACATGTACATGTATGTGGCCCTGGTCCGAATCAATCACAGTGCAGGGCTGCTTATGTGAGGTGGTGAAGAAGACTACTACAATGTCATGTACATGACTGTACTCTAACGTCACAGTGAGTAGGGGTTTCCACAAAAATTTCTGAATTTTTTCTGAATTTTGGCGATTTTTTGATTTTTTGATTCTTTTATGAATTTTGAGTCCCTTTTGTTGAATTTTGCCATACATTACCCACTTGCATGGTTGGTTTTGGGTTTCCAGTAAGCTGTTGGATGCCATCGTCCCATCGACCTGTGTGGAGAAACCTTGGATCAAAAAAACGAGAGAGCTTGGAAGCTCAGGGCCCTACGCTATGCTTTTTTGCCTAGCTCATCGTACATGTTATTAGAAGTGATGGAAATGTGTTTTTCCGTTGATTGGACACATAATCACACGCATCCATTGCTCAATCATGCATCATTCGGATTTTCTGGCGTTTTTGTAGCAATACATTAAGCTGTTGACCCAATGAGGTAAGTCCATACAATACGATACAATACAATAAAGAAATTAGTGTCCTTACGTTGATAGTGTGCTTGTGCTTAACTGCTGCTGACGGCCGAATGCATGGTTGCCTGTGGAGCTTTCAGCAACTTGGCTCTCCTGTACTAGGCATCCTGTCTATGCTTTCGTAATGCTAACATTATGCTCGGGATAGCAGTCGCTACTGATCTTCGGAAACTTGGCCTGACTATCACTCACAATACGATATACCGCATCATTCTATTTCCTATTTTTATTTTTCTCCTCAGCTTCTTCTTCATAAGCTGTTGACGGAGACTCCCTCGACGGAGACTCCCTCGATTTAGGCTAAGGCCTGTGGAGAATCCATAAACACATAATACAGATACAGATTAAGTGATCGTTGGTTGCTCCCACAATTTCATCATACTGTTGTACGACATGCTATACGACATCCTTCTACCGTACAACACCGTATCGATGTCTGGCGCTAGCGCGCTGTCGCCTTGTGTATTTACGGTGATAGGGAGAGGTACGGGATAGCGCTAGTCGGAGGTCCGTCTGCCACAACGAAACAGATAGATATACACCTTGATGATATGGGGGTTTCATATAGTTTTTAGCAAGACAGGTCACCGTTTGTCTGGTTATTCAGTTTTCAGATACATTTGGGTTAACTAAGGTCTTTGTTCGTCATGGATTTACCTGCTCGCGAGGAGAGCCTCACATTTCTAGAGCTGCGAAGATTCTGCGAAGTATGCTACGATCATATTATTATGCTTCGTTCAAGTAATCTAGCGGATCCAACGACTGTTTTGCCTCTAGATCGAAAAGCACCAGATGAGAGCAGACTTTGTTGGGGTGCCCCGTTATTCGAGAGTGATGTTGAAGCGGTGACAATGTTTCTCCCGGATTTCGAAGGTGATCCGAGGCGTGAATTCCTGCCGGTTTGCCGAGCAGGACGGAAAGAAGCTGTACGTGCTATTGTCCAGTTTTTCTTTCATTTCAAGTATTACGAAAAGTCTCAGGGTCCCGACCGTTCTACTCTCTGTTTAGTGCCATCCAGTATTGGTATGAACAGACCGCCAGTGTATGGCTTGTACAGCGTCCTGTACATTCTCGGAAGGACTGGCCTGAGGGTCCTTCGTGTTACTAGGATCTCGCTCACTTTGAACGTACGTATCGTATCCCAGCGAAAACAAATATCCGTAGCGAAAGTGTTCATTTTATCCCAGTCATCCCAGTCGCTCGTCAGAAATCCTGTATTATTGCCTTGGCATTTGAAGCCTCATGTCAGACAGATCCGACGAAAACTGAGGAAGGAAAAGAAGAGGAGAAGAAAGAAGTGCTAGGCAAGAGGCAACACGCGTATTAGTTTACTTCCCAAACATTTGCTTGTGTTATTGCTCAGATAAGACTATTTTAATTGCTATTAGGCCAAAACAAATAATGACCTTGTTTCCGGTCGCCCGACCGGGCTACTTTTTCCCAAATTCTGAAACTTTTTTTGGTCCCAAATGTATGCAAACGGTGGCAATGCCATGTGTGCAAGTGCACTCAACGAGTCATAACTCAGTCAAATCTCAACCAAATTCCACAATCGAAACACCTACAAGGTAGCAGAGATTCTCAGCTGTCGGCTCGAAAACCTCCGGGGTCGATACGAGCTAGAATAACGGAGCTGGAATGACTCGAACTGTTTGCTTGATTTCTCAGGATGTACGAAAACAGGAATACACCACATGCTGTACAAGAACAGTGAGTCAGTCAACTTTGACATTGATCCTTGCCATGATATATGTACAATGTTCATGTGTAGGTGCTCTTGTCCATCAATACCACAACGATTGAGGAACCAAAAAAAGTATCCAAAAAAAGTTTCATTCCGGCCGACCGAGTCTCCTTTTTGAGGGGTTGCCGACCGGAAACAAGCCTATTTTTTGTTTTGGCCTTATTAAAAAAGTTTTGAAGTATTCTAGCTATCTCTGATGGATGTCGTGGTGGTGTGTCATTTACCATTCATTAGTTGTTTACACCGTACACGGCATGCTATGCTGCTGACTAATACAAAGACCTTACTTCCAGTCATAGTCTGTTGTACAAACTGTGACTTGTGGATTGTAGATAGTCGTTTTCCATGCCGTCTACGTAGAACTACGAAACGTTTCCTGTGACCGGCGCTGAATCGCCCGTTCCCGCTTATTTTGGAGTCGACGGGATGTCTGTCCTGACGTTTCCTGGGACCGGCGCTGACTCTGCCGATCACGGGCGTTCTGGACTCGACGGGATGTCTATCCTGACGTTTCCTGGGACCGGCGCTGACTCTGCCGATCACGGGCGTTCTGGACTCGACGGGATGTCTCTTCCGGCGTTTCCTGGGACCGGCGCTGACACTGCCGATCACGGGCGTTCTGGACTCGACGGGATGTCTCTTCCGGCGTTTCCTGGGACCGGCGCTGACTCTGCCGATCACGGGCGTTCTGGAGTCGACGGGATCTCTCCTCCGACGTTTCCTGTGACCGACGCTGAATCGCCCGTTCACGCTTATTTTGGAGACGGAGGGATCTCTCTTCCAAAGTATGTTTTTGCTGACGCATCCTATCACCTATTCCGCAACTAATCCATTCTAATTTTATTTCCTCCTCATCTCCCTATTTCTTACCAAATCTCCCTCTACATCAGGGAGTCGTATACATATACATACGAATATTGTGGCTAGCTGTTTGTGGCCAGCTACGGGACAGATACGGGAGCCAGCAGATATTGTGGCCAGCTGTTATGTACAATCCTGTAGAGCCTTTGTAGTCACAGATACGGGACAGATACGGGACAGATACGGGATAGCGCCAGGCGTGACACAAACAAACAAACAAACACACAAACAAACAAATACCAAATTAAAGCTGTATGGACCCTGGCTAGCGCCAGACGTTACTGAAGTAACGTCTTCTGCATAGCTACGGGAATAATAATAATAATCACCGGAACTGGAAAGCAGATTGACAGAAGATTGACCACAACCATTTTCTTCGGTCACCATTTTGCGTTACCATGGTGTTGCCATGGTGATACCCAGAATTTTCGGCGCAACCAGAGTAATTGGCTGAATTTTTTTTAAATTTTGCGATTTTTTTTAATTCTATCATTGAAATTTGCCTAATTTGTTTGAATTTTGAATTTCAATTTTGAGATTTTTTTCTTGAATTTTGTGGAAACCCTTAACAGTGAGGCAAACAGAGGAGGCGGAGGAGTCCAAACATAGAAAGCCACTCTCGGAATGCGTTGATTACAAAAGCAAGAGACGTACATCGTCAGCATTTTACTGTTTACCCTAAATCCAACGGTACTCGTATCCAGCACCCAAAATACCATCAGTTTGGCATCGTTTCGGCGATAGAATGCTCTGTTTACAGGGAGAATGAAATGCTAATCATACACACACACACCACACACACGCACACACGCATGCACACACGCGCACACACACCACCACCACCACCACCACACACACACACACACACAGTGACACACAGTGACACACACACACACACAAAGTGACACACACACACACACACACACACACACACAGTGACACACACACACACACACACACACACACACACACACACACACACACGCACACACACACACACATACAAAACGGTACAGGCCGACGGTCGAAGTTAGGGCTAACAGGAAATGCTAACCATCATCATTGGCATGTCTAATGTGTGGGAGAGGAAAGTGTGACTGGCGTGTCAAGCCCCTACCATAAGTGTCCCTGCTTCTTTTTCCATCATACTTGTACTTCGTACTATCCTCATGATCATACCCACACTCACACTCATAGGTACTACTACTAGGGAGGGTTGTGAGTTATTGTGTTTGACGTAAAAAAATCAAGAAAAACTCATGCTACATGCATGCATTCCGTGGTGCATATATTGCCTGGCATTGTAAATGAAAATAATCGTCTTCCTTACAACTCTGTGCCATGCAACCACCCAATTCCTGGTAGAAGACAGTAGGTGCAACACATGGATTTCGCAAAAGAAGTCCTACCTCGACAGTCATATGCACAACATTACTAGGCAGTCATAATGAGTATGTGTTCACGTGCACATACACCCCCCCCCCCCCCCCCCCCACACACACACAGAGCATGTGCACACAGCATCCATACTTCTGCAGGCTGAAATCAAGTGCTGAATAAGTTGAGCATCAGCAGAACATGAAAATAGAGCTGAATACTACGGGTGTAATCTCAAGCTGCATATAGCCCGTCTGCTACATACCTGTACGAGACTGTGTACAAATCATCGCATGCCATGATAACATACCGTAGTGTCTTGTATTAAAGCCGGTCTCGTATAGAATCCTGTTTTGAATAAAAGCCTGATTTTCAAGATACACTGCCAGCATATAAGCCTGGTTTTACTGTGGACACACATAGAAATACCTCAGTGGTTTGAATAGAAGCCTGACGTGAATAGAAGCCACAGCTTGCCTGCCCTGGATGTGGTACAGTACTAGTACAGTTTGAAGTATCAACAAGTCAAGTCAAGGCGGCTGTGATGATGCACGGTGCCGTCGCTAAGAGGCACGTGACGAGAAGAATGGAGAACCAGGCAGTGGAGAACCGTGCAACCGGCTTGTTTGGAAATCTCCTTTGCTCTTGAATCTCCTTGACAGTGCACCGCCATAGAACTCAGTTATGTCTACACACCTCCTTTGTGCCTCAGTTCGTGTTTAACCTGGTAAAGTGCATACTGTTTTCCAGGTCGTTGTATCCAGACTGCATAGTGTGCACGGTTTCTACGATGTACTGTTTCTTTGTGTGACTGTGGAGATTCAATCGGTGTGGAACTGAGAGTGAGAGAAAGAAAGGGCTTGCCGCAGTTGTGTTGTAGTGCTTGTCTAATACTAGTAGACCTCAACACCACAGATGCTGCAACTGCTCCTCGGCGGAGGGACTTAGCGTTTGTTGATCCCGACTCACTTCGCTACGGCGTACGGATGGCAGCTGCCGGGTTGTCTGCGGCTCACGCTGTGATGCACTCGGGCTCAGGCTGCCCGGCGTGGATAGGCAGGCAGCACTGGAGAGGGAATTCTCATAAGAGCTGAACACCGACAGTGAGCTGTGCACAGTTCGCCTACTACTCTGACTAGCAGTGCTGTGGCTACTTGTCTCCATTGCATGCAGCACCGGATCCTGTAACTGCCATGGCCTGCCCGGCCAGCCACACGACTGCAGAAAGGCGCACAGCTCTGGACTCACAGTGACCAGGTGGTGCACAATCTCGGTCAGCTTCAGGTCAAGAGTGACGCGGATCGTGCGTAGCTCGTCCGATACCTGCACCGGGTGAGAGCAGAGGGCAGAGTGCAGTAACACTGCATTGCTACACATAACTGACAGGATACAAGGGTGTTCACTTGATGCCATTTCATATGCAGGGCCGACAGGTCCAGTCCACATGCTATGATTCAATGGCTATCTATCTAGAATATCATGAGATTCTGACTCAGGTCAGCTTAGCAAGACTGCTGGCAAGGGTCTTGGCAAGACGGATTAAATACCTGCAGCCCCGGAAGATGTACGTCTCTACCCTATGCTCTAAAATGAAATCGGCTAACGCAGCGAACCAGGTATTGTCCACATATTTTTAAAGGTATACTAATACCTCGGTTATCCGGACCCCGAAGTTACGGGCACTTCGGTCTACCGGGCACTATTTGGGCGAGTTTCAGGGGAAATATTACTACTCTGTTGTCACTTTTCGTAGAAATATTGACGTCATATGCCATATCGATGGCCTTTTCCCAATCAAAATGTATGTGATTCAGAGTTACGGACATTTCGAAGTTACGGGCAGTGTCCGGTCCCGGACTGCCCGGACTGCCTGGACTGCCCGGACTGCCCGGACTGCCTGGACTGCCCGGACTGCCCGGACTGCCCGGACTGCCTGGACTGCCCGGACTGCCCGGACTGCCCGGACTGCCTGGACTGCCCGGACTGCCCGGACTGCCCGGACTGCCCGGACTGCCTGGACTGCCCGGACTGCCCGGACTGCCCGGACTGCCTGGACTGCCCGGACTGCCCGGACTGCCTGGACTGCCCGGACTGCCCGGACTGCCCGGACTGCCCGGACTGCCTGGACTGCCCGGACTGCCCGGACTGCCTGGACTGCCCGGACTGCCCGGACTGCCCGGACTGCCCGGACTGCCCGGACTGCCCGGACTGCCCGGACTGCCCGGACTGCCCGGACTGCCCGGACTGCCCGGACTGCCCGGACTGCCCGGACTGCCCGGACTGCCCGGACTGCCCGGACTGCCCGGACTGCCCGGACTGCCCGGACTGCCCGGACTGCCCGGACTGCCCGGACTGCCCGGACTGCCTGGACTGCCCGGACTGCCTGGATAAACGAGGTATGAGTGTACATGATAAAGCACTGGTATCAGTAACTTGCGCCAGTCTAAGAATTCAGAGCGATTGCTAGGATCAAATGATAGCCAATTACCTGTGCTCGATTCGGTCCTGACACCAGATTTGGTGGGTCTCTTGTCATCGACAGTGCTTTCTCTTTATTCATCACAAAAGGAAAAGAGAAGAGAGGAATCAGGTATAGAGTGGTTTCACATCTATCACATGACCATAAGGGGCAGCCATGTTGCTTCCAACTCCACTCCCCCCCCCCCCCTCTCTCCCCGCATCTATGGGTCACATTAGTTCCACTGTCCACATGACATGATCCATTTCTGCACCAATTTAGTCACATGGCAAAGATGTGAAGCCACACTACAAAACAGGATGCAGCTTCTGCACAACTTCATTTTCTTCCTATTAAACCTGCTACATGGTCAAGTTTATGCACAAGTTGTGCGGAGAGGGCACATTTTTTATTTATATTTTTACTATTAACCCAGTCCTACTGGAAAACATGTGGGGAACGAAAAAAAGAAAGAACAAGACACAGGGGATGTAGGGAAGGCGTCGCCGTGCCGATGTGCTGGGAGCAACTCAACTCGGCGTCAGCATTGCAACTAGGCATCGAAAATAGGGGGGGGGGGGTGTTCACGCCTCCTGTACTCCGTGCCGAGCATACACCCACTCTCTCCCAGTCCAGGTGCAGCGGCCCTCATTCCCATGAATCTGTGACTGGCTAGATATCACTACATGTATATGCTTCTCCAGCTGCACTTCATGTTTGGCCTTTTATTATTTCGGCCAGTCAGCTACTTTACTTCTTTTTCGACTTGGGGGTTAGACAAGGAGAAGTAGCCATGCAGGGGCGTGAGCCCGCCTTTAGGCACAGGGCGGGGGGGGGGGGGGGGGGGGGGATCAAATTTTCACCAGTTGTAGTCTTCGGGGTACTGAGTCGAATGGTCTTGGTCCGAGGAAGCTGAGACGCTCTCTTCCTCCTTTATTCCCAATCGAACTCGCGCACTTCCACCGAAACTGGGTGACTGCGCCCTACTAGATAGGGATTTGTATGGAAAAAGTCACTAAAAACGCCGTTTCGTTCTTATATAAGCATGGATGACCGCGATTGGTCCATATTTTGTAGTCTTTTGGCCGCTGAGTCGACTGGTTTTGGTCCGAAAAGGCTGCAATGCAGCTTTCAGCCCTTATTCCCAATCGAACACAGTTGAGTAGGCGGTCACGTGCTCATTTACAGCCTGTTTGGGCCCATTTATGTCACTCGAGTTGAACCTTTGAACCAGGGAGTCGTAAAAGCCTCTTTACGACTCCCTGCTTTGAACCTTTGAGTTGAATCTTGATGTGAAAATTGTAGTCTGCAGGCACGGTGACCAGGCGACTGGAATACGCATGAGCACGTGACCGCTTACTCAACCGTGTTCGATTGGGAATAAGGGCCGAACGCTGCATCGCAGCCTTTTCGGACCAAAACCGGTCGACTCAGCGGCCAAAAGACTACAACATACGGACCAATCGCGGTCATCCGTGCTTTTATAAGAACGAAACGGCGTTTTTAGTGACTTTTTCCATACAAATCCCTATCTAGTAGGGCGCAGTCACCCAGTTTCGGTGGAAGTGCGCGAGTTCGATTGGGAATAAAGGAGGAAGGCAGCGTCTCAGCGTCCTCGGACCAAGACCATTCGACTCAGCACCCCAAAGACTACAACTGGTGAAGATTTGATTTTAGGGTATACTTCCCCTTTAAAAGTGGGCTTGGCCTGTAAAAAAAATGTAGCAGTCAGTATTGGTATACCGTAAAATCCCGCCAGAGCGCCCCGTCTCTCCTATCCGCCCCTCCCTGACTTCTTGTCAGGGACGTGATTGGTTGTATCCTCGTATGACTATCACAGTCTGTGATGCCGTACTGTACTGCAGACGCGTGCTCGACCCCGTTGGAAATGTACGCAACAGTGCCCACCCTCTTGACCAGGGATCGCACAAACCCTGAGTTTTGACGGGTCTGCACGACTCCTGGCTCTTGACCTTTGGTTGGTGTACGAGATGCACGAACAGGTTTCGTAGGGTGAGTACTTTTTCATGTAGCACTGAATGCGGCAAGTAGGACTCGCCCTTCCGCCCCTCCCCACCTGAAGCGTCGAGGAGGCAGGGGCGCTCTGGCGGGATTTTACGGTACTACCACCAGTTGACACGGGTCCTCACCTTCAAAGCCACTCACATACTGGCCAGACAACTGGAAGAAGCTGCTGGACAGGCTCTCATGGCACTTTGCGTAGAAGTGCATGATCATCTTCATCAGTTTACCAGTGCCGATGACCTGTGCACATGTGGAAGACCAGGAAGAGTCCGTAGTTCAAACGCAGTAGAGCTTATAGCTATTCAGATTTTTTCTTGTGTGTATGCACTATACATGTACTGGTCTTCTCATGGCATACCTGCACAAGTACTTCACACAGTAATGTACATAGTTGCTATGTCTGTGCATTGTACCTTGTTCAGGTAGTTTTCATATTATGACTACTCTTCTGTTTCTCTCTCACATTGCTCATGAGTAAGAACAACATGGTGTTTTGTCTTTGGTGCATCTCGACAGCAATAACGGAGAGGATAGGAGAGGTAAACATCATGACAGACACGCAGATGGACAGGTGGATGGATGGATGGATGGATGGTTGGTTGGATGGACACATGGATGAATGAATGGATGGATGGAAGGACAAATAGACAGATGGATGGACAGCCTGGGCCAGGTAAACATATGTGGGATTACTGAGTGAATGGGTACACAAACAAAACAAAAAAAAACAAAAAAGCGAGTGCCAGGCTTCATCGTTGGCAGCTCTCACCTTGAATTGCTTCCTGGCTGTTGACTCGCGGCGACTCTCCTGAGTCTGCGCTACACTCTCAGACAGTATCTCTAGTAGTGCTATTGCATCATCGCAGAGCACTAGCAAGTAATCCAGTGTTGCCGCCAAGCTCTGGCATACACGCCAGCACTCCAGCGACAACAGTGACATGTCTTGCTACAACGCGGTGCACGGTATAATGGAAGGGGAAATGATAGAAACAAATACAACGCATATTTTACACATCTGGATTGAAGCCACCGACACGGTGACTCCTGTATGCCTAGCTAAGGTATGACACATTCATGGGCATGTGTACTGTATCTACATTGCAATCCGTCCCCGTGACAACCAGTTGCATGACAGAAGTAGGGCAGGATGTTCATATCGGGCTAACTAACTTAAAGAGTTAGACAGGTTTCACTGTACAGGGTGCACACTTGTCCGCATTCCTTCAAAAAGTAATACTGGTAGACTTCTAGGAAGACTTCTATGCCATGCCCTAGTGTAGTGCCTTCTAGTTCAGTCGGTCACAGTGTGCCTACCTGTTGAATGATGCATCCCACTGACATCCAACGCACCGCTTGCAGTACAGCCTTTCCCGTGCCCTTCTTGGCCAGCACAGTGACAGTATCTATGACCTCGCTCCACGCAGACTGCACAATCTCCTTCCAACGGTCTGGCGCACGCGGTGATACCAACACGCCCGCCTTGGAATAGACCAGGCGGAAGTGAGCCGTTGCCTTCAAGAACAGAAAACGAGCAAAACTCGAGCAATGGGCCACAAAAGGTAAAGGTGAGATGATTTACAGGTTGAGGGAAAAATATCACCGGAGAAAGGGATGAGAACGAGACGGGAAAGAAGCAAGGAGGCCTCTCTTCCATGTTCCCATGGCTAACTAGTTACTCCTGCCCATGGTAACTCCAAAGCATGCTGCTCCCATACTTCGGATAGCCGTGTACAGCTACAATTTGATCGCGTGACGAGTACATTGTCCCATAACCATTACAGATCACCTGACCAACGCCACAGTCGGCACATGATGCCCAATACAGGGCCACATGATCATTACAGGTCACATGACCAATACAGGGTTACAAGACCAGAGCACAGCGCCACGACTAATACAGGGTCACATGATCTTTACAGGTCACATGACCAATACAGGATCACGTGCCCAATACAGGGTCACGTGCCCAATACAGGGTCACATGATCAATACAGGTCACATGGTCATTACATGTCACATGGTCATTACAGGTCACCTGATCAGTGCAAAGTACCATGCATTGCATGACCATATTGACCAGTACAAGATCATCACAGGTCTACTGACCAATGCCGCAAAGTCATGTGAGTAGTGCATATATACATACAGCTGCATGGTTGTATAGATGTGTATAGTCTCATAACGGAATCTATAAGTGGACCAGAACAGTACCTGCAGTGCTGACGGAAATACTGTCAGGCAGCGCTCCAGGTTCGCTTCATCTTCAGACGTGAACGTGCTTAGGCTGCACGGATTCACACAGACATGTTATTGTCTCACTAATATTGTCATGAATGTGCATGTACTGACATCATTTTATTGTCCTGTGTGCACACACTAGCATAACTATTGTCCTGTGCACATCGTGACTATAATCATTATTGCCCTGTGCTCGTGCGCTACTGTATTTCCTTGTGCGCATGCAGATATATGAAGGGTAAGTATACTATACTAGGCACCAAGTCGTACACTCAAGCATGGCACTACTGCACTGTACATCATTCACCTGTACTTGCAGGGAGAAGGGGGGGGGGGGGTATTGGCCTTCAAGTTTAGGTAGCTTCACACACACACACACACCTGTTAAGGCTGTTGTCCTTGAACAGCCAATGCATCACGTATCTCTTCTCCACGCGCACATGACGCCAGTCTCTTTCCACGTACACCTGCAAGACCGTGGCGACATGAACAAGCACTCGTCTCTAGTAGCCCGCTAGTATACCCAACACCATTCAGGAATACATGCTGAGCATGAGCTAGAAGCCTGGCGTGCCTGGCCTGGGTAGATGTCAGCAGGAGGTGATTGATGCTATTGAATGCCTGTCACAACATTGCAAACCATTTCTGCCCAATGATCGACCTTGATCACTAGACTGTTTTGTGTAGATGACTAAAAAAAACATCCACTGATCAGATGCAGCATCTAGTCTTAATTTTAAACATTCCTAATGAAGGACATAACGTTTATATAGTACACAACAGTGACACAAGTTGTGCACGGATAGACAGGAGAGGATCATGACTACAAGTAATAATTATACCGTAGTACGGGAGCAGACCACATGAGCAGTCGGTAGTGCTATCGGAGGCATTTCGTTTTCCTTCTTGTTTCTCTTCTCAGTCCACTCACCTCAATCCAGATTTTGCTACATGTGAGAACCTTGGATGCCAGCTCAGCTTTTAGAGTGCTTAGCCTCGGACTCTGCGCTATGAGATCTCTTAGCATTGCCGCTGTCCACCGCTTGCTGCCGCAGTCAAGCGCTGCAGCAGAGGACAATATGTGTGAGATAGTGTAAGGCACAGACCAGAAATAATAGCGTTTTCTCTGTGTGGCCACTGGTAGGTGCGGACCTGCATATTCACCCCAGCGGCATGACCGCATGTAGAACCTAACGCATGCACACTGCAGATTGTTTGTGGCCGTTGGAGGTCTGCTTGAGTGAGAATTGGTAAACAATACATCTCCTACAGCCGCCGTGTTCATTTCACGCCTGACCTAAAGGCAGGTGGGCGGCTCACTCACGACGGTCAAGACATTTTCAGATCCCTATAGCTGTTTCCACGGCTATATCAGCTGATCCTAAGAATTGCCTGAGCTTATTGATCTCCAGTGGGAGTGTATCATGTATGAGGTGCACTTACACATCAACACGACCTCATCGCTGAGAAGAAGCTGCTTGACATCCTGCACAACTGTGACAACAAGCAAAACAACATCGCATTCACGTCAACGATGCTTAGCTCAAGCAGTCGCGCCAGTACATGTCGGCACTGGGGTCAGGGGCAGCTTTCCAAAACCAGGCAGCATCAGTCCATGTGATCCGCGGGCCAGAGCATCTGAATCCTGTTTCCGATGTTTTTTCCCTAAAGTATGGACCGTTCCTAGTTCTATTACATGCAGCACATGTACAAGTATTTCATTTTCATGTGATCATTGGATGACATTACTATTTAATACAAGTAAATAGAGCTGTCTGCCACTATGCAGGATGTTCGATGACACTGATTACTGCCTGGAAGCCGGATATTGTGTGTATTGTTCAATGCCACCATGTTGCTGTGAAAGTTCTGCGAATATTAAAGCAAGTGCTTACTGACAGCAGCAAACATGGGTGCCACCGCTTGCTCGTCTGGCTCTCCACCATCCTGGATGTAGAAGTGTTCCTGGATGGTCACGGCCGTGTTGAATGGTAGCAATGAGCCGCATAGCAGGGACAGGTCGTTGACCGTCACTCTATTGGAGACCTGCGCCATGATATGTACACATACATGTACAATCATGTACACAGAGACACAGACACATAGACATACAAACCGCAGACACACGGACAAACATACACACATGCACACATAAACAAGAGCATACACGTACATCATGTGACCTCAGACACATACTGGTACGCAGAAACTTGAAGCCACCGCTGGCAACCAGCTCGTTCAAGCTATTTGGGGAAAGGGACACAAACAAGAGTATGCACCAGTGGGAGGACCGCTAGCTGTACTGCAGTGTTTTTCTATCGCAGCTCAGGTGCCTATTAACTGCAGTACAAAACGTTCTACTCAGCTGCAGAGTTGTACATGATTGTCCAGCAGTGCTGGCAGGTATTCATGGCCAGGACTACACGACCTGTAATGCGGCCTAGCCCAAGGTGGAAGGGGCCATTGCCATCGCCTACCTTGAACTTGCTCTCTTGTATCTGTATGTTCTGGCAGGTGAGCATACTGGCTACATGCTGACACCAGGCAATGTGAGCAGAGTGGCAGCAGAGTACAGCGCTCTTCAGCCCTGCAACCGGACAGTCATGACAGAAAGAAAAGACACCCATGCCAGGGTCTCAGGCCACACTGCAACAATATACATGTACAACATCTTGATTCGAAGTATGCAAGAATAGTGGGCTCGTGCCAGGCTGGATTTCTACGTTCTAGCATCCCACAAGTACATGGATGCTCACGTATACACATGTATGTTGTGCACTACTTCCACCCTACTGTTCTACACACACACACACACACACACACACACACACACACACACACACACACACACACACACACACACACACACACACACACACACACACACACACACACACACACACACACACACACACACACACACACACACACACACACACACACATATACACACACACGCACACACACGCACACGCACGCACGCACGCACACATACACACGCACACACACACACCGTAGACTCACGCACGCACACACACACAGCCACACACACACACCGGGAGATACTGTGCCAGCAGTACAGTGACCCAATGAGCCGTTGGCACACATCTCCATGATTGCAATGTCCAACTCATACGACCTGCCACGGCAGATGATCTGGACCTGATTATGGATCTCTACTGTGTACATGTACGTGATATCAGAGTGGTGTTGCAAGTTGTTCGAACTGAAGTGTCATACTCAGTCAAGTGTTTTGTTTCCTTACCAATGGTTTCTGTATAGGTTCATAAGCACAATAACAGGGTGGCGTGTAAGCTAGTGTAAGGTTCACATATTTCAGCAATGCGTACTTCAAGCGTATCCCAGACATACTTGGGTGGTATGTGACCGGCTCATAATTATTATGAGGAAGGCACCGTTCGTTACATGTGTTACTAACAAGAAATGATAGCCATAGTCCCTCGGCATACAGACAAAGTCGTATCATATTGCTCGGGCCCACGCATGCCGCTATGCCAAGCGGTGGATAAGAGAAGCGTGCATCTACAGTCCATTCATCGGAAACAGTCCCGCTGGCTTTTGAAAGTCCGATTTGGGCCGAATTGAGGATCAAAAACCCACTTTTTAAAAGGTAGCTCGAACCACTTTGACAATGAAAAACCTTTTACAGAAGAAGTGCTGTTTTCTCTGTTCTAAGTTGTTCTCTAGCATACATACGCCCCAGAAATGATATTCGTATGGGGGATACTTATGCATTTTGTTGTACTTATGGCCACTTGAAAGTACAAAAAACGTAATTTTCTGAGCTTCGAGGCCCCATAAGTACAACAAAATGCATAAGTATCCCCCATACGGATATCATTTCTGGGGCGTATGTATGCTAGAGAACAACTTAGAACAAAGAAAACAGCACTTCTTCTGTAAAAGGTTTTTTCAACTCCAAAGAGGTTTGAGCTACCTTAAATCTCTAAAATCTGGGTTTGGATCTGCTTCTCCATACATTTTGCCATGGCATACCTGTCCCAATTTTGTAAAACCTGGCTGAATTTCTATTTCCCTGTTCTTGGACTTTTCTGGCCCCAAATGTGGCAAGGAGTAATTGCACAGGTCACACAATGCAGGATGTACTGTTGTTTTCACGATATCTACAACTATGTGCGGCAGACACCAAAGAAGTAAGGGTGCCAGTTTCCAAAGAATGGACTGTAGGCAAGAGCGTTCAGCTCCTGAGCACTTTGTCCTAGTTTGCGCACTGTGAAAGAAGCAAAGCATGATCTCACCGAATGCCGTGGTCCCTGTAAGCGTACACACACCGGTGTCGGGATTGCAGACCTGCAGGGGAGACTGCGGCTTCAGCAAAGTAGCCAAGACTGTCTTCTGACGAGTTTGCCGCAGGCAGAACCTACCAGAAACAGGCACACCGCAGGCACACAGCAGGCACACAGCAGGTACACAGCAGGCACACCGCAGGCACACCGCAGGCACACAGCAGGCACACAGCAGGCATGCACGCATGTATGAGCAATATACTTTGCTACATGAGCAAACACACCGACAGCCAGACAGACTGGTCTGAGTGAGACTCTGCTCTGCCGTACCAGCTTTCTGTTGCAAGACCAATACAGGACATTGTAATCGGTGTGGATGTGCAGGGTCTGGTGTGCCCTGGCAGCTCGAGAGGATGCTGAGACTGCTTGCTTGGTCAATCTGCATGGCCTCACTTTCACCTTCATCTCGTGTCCATCAAGAGCACATGTATACGGTTAAGCTACAGCTACAGCTCACATACGCCCAGATTGCATATCGCGGGTCAGCTTTAAGCACATCTCCACCAGTTAATTTGCAAGATCCGGAACTGTATACACATCAAAGTCACTCACTGCCGTACATACACAGGTTAAAGCTGGTCACATGACCAGTGGCATCCAGAAACTGCCTGCACTTGACCTGTAAGACCATTACCGTATTTCCCAGTGTGTTGGCCCCGCCGGGGTCTAAGCCACAGGGGCGATCTTTGGGTTTTCCAGGGGTTTCAAAGTGCGGCAAACACACCGGAAAATACGGTATTCTTCGACAGCAAATGCGTGGAATGCGCAAGAGTTGCCATGGCTACAGAGACCACCTGCCGTGTTCGAAGACCGAGATAGGCTGGTTGCATGATTCAGCTGGAACTAGGCTTTAGCTATACACAACGTTACGACCTCACACAAAGTGACATGCAGTTCCATGCAACCGTACCTGTACATAGCTGCAAGGCATTCCTCGCTGAGTATTCCCCACGGCGACTTGGGAAAGAAGCGGCCGGAGCAGATTTCCAACAGGAAGTGCTCGAGCACCTGATCCAGGCGCACATCTGCACAATACTGAGCACAGGATAATGAACAGCATTGCAAGGGTAAATTATAATTCAGGTTTTGGACGTGACTACAGTCTGTGCAGGCAAGGCGATGGGGGTCTACCATGCAGGTAACGTGTTCACCCATATGTAGAAATGGGTGAACAAGGACCTGCTTGTTGTCATGGTACACTGAGCGAGCGACACAGTGCAATGTTCGTCCATGGTACCCTATCAGGTCTCTCATTGCACACTGGACCGTCAAGCACAAGTAGAAATATGTGTACTCAATGCACGTAGTGTATAGCTTTCCTCACACATAAATCCTGTGTCAGCCTCGGAAAGTACGCAGTTGATCATCTTTCACTGGATTTCTTGCACGGGTGCATTCCACCTATGATATGCTGTTGTGGAAATGGAAATCTGGTCGGAGATCAGGCGGCCCCAGGGCGCTGGCCAGCAGCAGTGAGTACGCATACGATCAACACGTGCGGTGTGCACTGCATGCAACGTTCGGTACGCACTGAGGGCGCCGGCCCCGGTCATTCGACCTGATTTCTATGTCCACGGCCGCAGGTGTGTATGGCAGGCACATGCAGGTACATGTTTCAGTGCTTCATTGGTCCACATCTGTGCACAAGGAGGACTGACAAGCCACACCAACATCCGAGTATGTCTTGGTCCGCTGTGCTATTATCATGCCAGAAATCCCCCCCCCCCCTCAGCCAGCAGTGAATACAGCTGCGCACTGGTAACCAAGACCACTAACTCACCTGCAGTCTCATGTCACCGACCATGCTTGCACTTGCTTGCCCGCTTGCCAAGTCCAGTACTAGGAATACAATACACGTACAGTGGAATCTCTCAGCCGCAAGTCCAGTACTAGGAACACATACACGTACAATGCCGGAATCTCTCACATATAGACATCACCAGGATCAGACATGCCTGGCATATACAGTGAGTTATTCTGATTACAAAATCCATAGCAATTTGGTTGGGAACGCATAGGACTGGAGAAGAGTGTCCTGGTCCGAGAGGTATCCACTAAAGGAGGCTCTGCTGCATCATAGGCCAGCAATCTCCAAGTCAAATTTAGTAGGATTGGTCGGCACAACGCTACTGTAGACTATGCATTGGCCTTTCCGAGGCACATGCAATGCATCACGGTTGTGCCAGTCAACATACCAAACATGTCAAATCCTCTGGGCTCTGCCACTCCGTTGGCAACGTGATCCACTGCTTCTAGCAATGCCGGTACCGGTGTGGACTGAGATGATGGCTGCAGTGGATCATCGCCGCAAGAGTAATTGCATGAGCAGTCAGAGCACACAGGGCACAGTTCCCAACACTGATCACATTGCCACAGGCATAATACTATCAATGTTACTTGGCTTATTTTTGCCTGTGGAATTCAGTACCGTGGTAGCAGCAAAGACTCTTGAAGGTTTGCATCTAAAGAAGGTTTCTGTTAATGTCATCCTTGATCCCCGATGCTGCAAACAATATGGCAGAAGTCTGCAAATGGCCAACTCCAAACCAACTGCCGCCACTCGTACCGGCAGCAAGGCTAAGGCAAGATTACCATCACTATACGCTAGCACTGCATATACAGTTCAGAGAAAGTCAGCGGCTGTTCAGCTCAAACCTTCTGACTTACATCACACACTGAGATATTATTGTATAGAATGAGGGAAAACAAATGCAGACAGACAAAAACATTTGAAAACTTTTAAACTCTCTTTTAGGACAGAAACAAAAGCTGCTTGTATGATACGTTAGTTATACTGAAGGCTGCATACTTGGTTAGGCAGATTGTACATATGTCAGCCAATGCTCTCTTGCTTGGGAGCCTGGACTACTCGTCAACACTGATATCAGAGCTGTTCATGCAGAAGAATGACAAGGACGCTAACCTTTTTCGTTTGTGCAGACCCTGCGGCAGAACCACTGACACCATCGTGTGAAACATCCGCGGCTGGTCTTGATGACGAAGGCAACCTCCTTCCTCTGTGCAGGCCTTTGACATATTCCTTCAATGGCAAAATAATAGGAGGGGTATGTCACAGTAAAACAGGCCTTGGAAATGTTGATGATGGAGATATAAAGGACATCCACAAGATATGGCTATGTACGCACCTTCCCACATAAGCTAAGCCCACATTTCCCCCCCCCCCCCATCCATGAGAGTTCACAAAAAATGTGTACCAGTTCGCTTGATTTCATGAACACACATGAATAGACAGACAGACAGACAGACAGACCAACTGACGGACGGACAGAGACAGAGGCAGAGACAGAGAGTCGTTTACATTAGCACTAGGACCGGCGCATGCGAGCACAGCCCAGGACTACATGTATCTGGCAACACGTGCTAGGACTCACCTTTATAGTGGAGCAACAGTCCTGGACGTACTCCAGTGCTTGACTCAGCATCAGTTCAATCAGCGAGGTGAGCTTCTTTAGTCCACGCATAACCTGTAAAGGCAATCCGACCGACAACCGACCGATTAACAACGGTACAGCAACCACTAGGAAACGGGGAGGAAGGTTCTATAGACAATGAAGTTGACCTTTCCTCCTCATCTTCCTCTCCCTCCTCCTTCTTCTTCCTCCTCCTCCTTATCCTCCTCTCCTCCTCCTCCTCCTCCTCATCCTCTTCCTTATCCTCTCCTCCTCTTCCTCCTCCTCCTTATCCTCTCCTCCTTCCTCCTCCCCTCCCGTCCTCCCTCCCTACCATGTGCCCCCCCCCCCCCCCCCACAGTCACCTTCGCCACACCATTGCTGCGGTCACACACCCCTTTACCATAAACTACCTGCACTGACCTGTTTGTCCAATGCTTCCACCCCGGTCAGCTTGCGCACCTCTGCATGACACTCTCGATAGGCCAACACTTCACATAGTGGGTCCACTCTGTCAGAATCCACAGACACACCGCATGAACTAATCCAATCAATCTAACGCCAAAACAAAAGATAAGCTTGTTTCGGGTCGGCAGCCCCCAGAAAACAGACTCGGTCGGCCGGGAAAAAACGTTTTTGAACGACGTGTTTGGTTGTTATTATCAGTGATTCTGGTGCTTACATACATGTACTCTAGTATGTGACAGACAAGAGCAGTTGAACATACTAAACTCGAGGTACACATCTGTATAATATGCACATGTGACATGGTATGGATCAATGTCACAGTTGACTAACTGCACTCATACAGGCTGTACACTCCTGGCAGTGTGGATGTCTAGTACTAGATGTAGGCACACTGCACGTATGCATGCTATGATGCAAATGAGCGGTTTTGCCAGCTCCCTACAGGCTCCCATGCACCTATTATACACATAATGCGGACCAAAAGCAGTTTCAGAATGGGGGGGGGGGGGGTGACACGGTCGGCCGAACCGAAACAAGGTTCTTTTTCTTTTGGCCTAATCATAAATTGTATCAAGAGAGAGAGAGAGAGAGAGAGAGAGAGAGAGAGAGAGAGAGAGAGAGAGAGAGAGAGAGAGAGAGAGAGAGAGAGAGAGAGAGAGAGAGAGAGAGAGAGAGAGAGAGAGAGAGATACAGGGAGAGAGAGAGAGAGAGAGAGAGAGAGAGAGAGAGAGAGAGAGAGAGAGAGAGAGAGAGAGGGAGAGAGAGAGAGAGAGAACGAGAGAGAATAACCCATAGAGCATACAAATTGACCAGCGGAGTCACTGAATACAGGTGATCTTGAGTGCTGTGCAATGGTCCGAGAAAGTCTCGTGGAAAACCGAGCGATGATTCAGGCGTGTGTAATATGTTAGTTCAAAGAAACGCTTTCTCTCCTCAGTTCTCGGCTGGTGGAAAGGTGAATGGTTAGAAATGAGAGGCTCTAACTCACCTGGCCGAGTCATGCTGACCGTAGTCTATGGGCATATCCCGTGTGACTAGCTGCAAGATTCCCTGCAGACATTGATCATACTTCTCTTCCTGAAGCGAACACATGCAGAGAGAAAGCTGCTCGCAGGTTCTGAAATGCTGACTAAGACAGCAAGCATGTGAACGTGTGTACTGACAAGTCATGTGACGACTTCCCCCGTGAATATCATTCAGATCATGTGACAGGTCATGTGATCTAGGAATAGCCTCTATACTTATCATGATCCTGCTGCTGGGCAAGGCAACGGCAAGTCACACAGCCGATCGAGCCATAGTCTCGACATTCCATTGAGCTTAGAAGACATAAAAAGGAGGCATCAGGCGACTCAAAATACCCAGCTGCTTAGTGAACAAATAATAGAGAGGTTCCGGGGTACGATTTTCCGTGCCAAAATCCGTATGGGCGCTACGGATTTTTTCCAGGCGTGCTCCATACGATTTTTCGGCACGGAGAATCCGTGTGGACTGGCTTTCATACGAACCATGTTTCGTATGGAGATTTTGCGTCATCGGGTGCAGAAAGATTTTTCGCGTACAAATTTGGTACGAGAAGCATCGATTTTCCGCGGGAAGTTTTGATTTCGGTACAAATTTTCAAAATAAAAAGGCATAGCGCGGGAATGTGACATGTTTGCGATCGTAACCTAGGCAATGACGGCAAACACATAAGTTTCGTACTCCGGAACATTTCACTGCTCGAAAACGACGTATAAAAAATCCGTAGCGCCTCTACGGATTTTGGCACGAAAAATCGTACTCCGGAACCTCCCTAATGTTATGCGAAAGAAGTTATAATGCTGAGTCAGCGGAATTCCACAACTGCTTATGGGTGCTCAGTATACAACGTGAGCTGCTAGTGCATCGCTCGACTGTGCCAAAGCCTCTCAACTGAAGATGTAATCGCATACTGTGACCTCCATAGACAACCACTGACACTGGAGATGGCTCTGTTCTCTAAAACCAAGCCAGGCCAAAACAACATCCTTACTGTGCCCAGCTGTTCTGCAGTGTTCCTCGCGATGGCAGCTTGCATACTGTTCAGGTGATGCAGCAGTCGGTGCAGCTTTGCAGCAGTGCTGGCCGACAGGCGGTGAACAGCCTGAAGAACTGCCAGTGACTGGTCGGTCGGTCTGTGCATAGATCCAGACATGTACATTATACTCATTGCCAACCATGCTAGCCAGAAAAGCGATATTTGAATGCACAAATGTCAGGGCAATGCACACAAGAACGGATACAATCTGCGAAAAGTCACATACTAGTAGTCGAATGCTCCCACTAGTTGCACAGCCAGGGTCATGTGGGTTCAACATGAAAGCGGGACGGGTAGAAGTAAATAGGATAAGAGAACAGACTGGCAGGGAGGATAACTGGACACTGTGGCGGAGGAAGATGATACAGACTCAGTGACCACTCACTGATTGTGGGCATGTTACCGGGAGACCAGACCTATCTGTCCTGTATTGGCATGCATCCTGATTACAGAGATCAGTACAACTTGACTGCCGGGAAGAGCGTGGGATTGAACCTGTATGTCCTGAGTGTGTGGAGGTGTCCTTGGTTGAGAAGTGTCTGCAAAGAAATAGTTGTTCCACAAGTTTGTCATATGACTACACTCCATTGTGAAGAAAGCGTACACGGCGTCTGGACAGTGGAACCAACATGGCTGACCGTGACCATGCGACCAAGGGCACTAATGCAGGGATAAACTGGAGATGGAACCAACATGGCTGACCGTGACCGTATACGACCAAGGGCACTAATGCAGGGATAAACTGGAGATGGAACCAACACGGCTGCCCCGTAATGGTCATGTGGTCATGTGGTCGATATCGCCGGATATGCACCAGCTCTACACGGTACTATCCTGGAGGGGAACACCGCCGCCATGGCTTACCGTTCTTCCAGTAGTATACTGAACAAACAGCACGGCAGGGATGTCAGCATATCCATGTCCCTGTCCCTGTGCAGTATTGATTGCGTGAGCTGAGCACGGTATATCCTCCTGTAAATGACGACAAAAGCCGGTGCAACAGTAGCCAGTGTTTTACCAACACCTACAACAGTATACAATCATGTACATGTATTACCTCAATGCTGGAAATAACTGCTATTACCTCAATGCTGGAAATAACTGCTATTACCTCAATGCTGGAAATAACTGCTATTACCTCAATACTGGAAATAACTGCTATTACCTCAATGCTGGAAATAGCTGCTATTACCTTAATGCTGGAAATAACTGCTATTACCTCAATGCTGGAAATAACTGCTATTACCTCAATGCTGGAAATAACTGCTATTACCTCAATGCTGGAAATAGCTGCTATTACCTCAATGCTGGAAATAACTGCTATTACCTCAATGCTGGAAATAGCTGCTATTACCTCAATGCTGGAAATAGCTGCTATTATCTCAATGCTGGAAATAGCTGCTATTACCTCAATGCTGGAAATAGCTGCTATTACCTCAATGCTGGAAATAGCTGCTATTACCTCAATGCTGGAAATAGCTGCTATTACCTCAATGCTGGAAATAGCTGCTATTACCTCAATGCTGGAAATAGCTGCTATTACCTCAATGCTGGAAATAGCTGCTATTACCTCAATGCTGGAAATAGCTGCTACCGACCTGTGAACCACTCTGCACACCCACCCATATTCACGTCTTGGGGATATATTGGGATTTACAACCTCCACCTTGGGATACTGAAGTACTTAGATGACGCAAGTTACAAGAATATAATTATGTTGGACTCAGTATAAAGTCCATGCACTATATGATGCCCAGCACCCTATCTAGAGTCCATTGGTCCAAAATCCCCTACTCAGAGTCCAGGAGTCCGCTCATTTTGAACTCTGTATAGGGATGCCTAATTGGCTGGACTTCATACACGGAGTGTTGTCCACATAAAGACTATTTATAGTTGATTCCAAGCTTGAACTGTGTATAGTGGATTTTGGACCAATAAACTCTATATAGAGGGAGCTAATTGGCTGGACTCTGTACAGGGAGTGATGTCCATCTTTATTGCAAACTATGAACTTACAGTTGATTCCTACAAACGTAGTTTGGCTTGTGTATAGTGGATGTTGGACCAATGGACTCTATATAGGGGATGGACATCATATAGGGGCTGGACGCTCTACTGAGTCCAACATATACATGTACATAACAAGCACACAGCAATCAAGGAAGATAATTTGCAGAGTGTTTTTTTTACTAAGCCCACTATATGCTCCCGAATAAATGCGGAAAGTGGCAGCGGGTCCCTGCTGCTCAGCCGACCTTGGTGGTCTCGGCGTCTGCACAGACAAAGCGTGCCAGGAAAAATAGGGAACTGAAGACATGAGAGAGAGGGAAAAACAAGACAAAGCACCCGGGGAGCTTCACAAGGAGATTAGCCGCCTCACAGACTCACCGGAGCCAGCGCAGCACAGATGGTTGATTGGGGTGCAGGAACCGACTTTCCAAGCTGTCAGTGTTCAGAACGATATCTGCAAGGAAAAACACGGGCATCTTAACCGTCACATGCTTGATAGAAGCCTTCGTATTTTTTACTTGAAGAATGGCAAACAGGACTTTCCTTGAGGATACTATTAGAAATCTCCAGGACAAAGTGATCAGAGCATTGCTATTTTAAAACAATGGATGCATGGAACATTGACTCAAACACATCATTATCTGTTCAGCCACACTACCCGCTGACACCATGCCCCCCCCCCCCCCAACACACACACACACACACACACACTCTGCACATGCACACATGATTTTCCCCTATAGAATCATACTATGTGACTAGTCCCAGAGTCCCAGACACTGCAGCAATGCAGCCGTCTTACCAGCTTCTTCCTCCTCACTCGGTAGGAACATGGCCAGATAGCTGGTGATTGTACTCTGGCTGACAAACACGCCTTGGTGCAGGGAGGCAAGCGGAGGAGGTGCAAAGATGAACAGTCTGTGGTGCAGGATCGAGTGGGAACAACAGCACAACCAGCAGTTACTATTGACGCATGTACCCACCAGTCTCTCTCTCTCTCTCTCTCTCTCTCTCTCTCTCTCTCTCTCTCTCTCTCTCTCTCTCTCCTCCTCCTCCTTCTCCACCCCCCCCCCCCCCAGTTCACAGTGACCCAAATAAACCCATACACACAGAGCAAATCATGTCTTCTCCTTATAACCACACACTTTGACGAACCAAGCAATTGCACATTCCATACAACCATATCCTCAAAGACAATGGGAAGGGGAACACAGGGTAATCCCCACATCTCCACCTTTGTACACATCAGATGAGTACAATCACGTGGGCAGCAGCATGGCAGTGCCATTTTACACCTGTATCTGCACACATCGCAGCCAAGTGGAGCTTGCGAAATGCTACAGGTGCTGCTTAAATTTGCTTTAGCCACTGTGACTATTACAAAATACTAATACAGTCGTCCCTCTCTAATCCGGCACCTTTTGCTACGGCGTTTTCTGCTGGATTAAGAAATCCTGCCCTCTGACCCGGCCCTACCCAATTGCATGCATGTATCACATGTACGTCAAAACGCAGGGTTTTTCCGTGTCGACCCAAGTATTTGGTGCACGGCTTTATATTCTCAATTGTTCTCCGGGAATATACACAGTGATAAAGTGATAAAGTAAAACAGAGAACATGTTCACATGTACTCTTGCACACACACGCACACACACACACACACCTGAAAATTGGCAGGACACTACTCCTTGCTAAAATAAAAAAAAGTATGGTTGACTGCCGTTGTCTTCTGGACAAGCCTAGCCTGGCCTGGCAAGGAGTGCACGACTGCCGGATTATGAAATCAAACTACGTGCAGTTTGAGCGATTCGTTTCTCTTTTTCTGAGTCACTGCCGGAGGCGGAATTCAAGTGCCGGATTAAGATGTAGGAATTGAACGAAAAAAATCGGTTTCGTCAGAAAGTGCGCCGGTTGGCAAGGGTTCCGGATAAACAAGTGCCGGATTAGAGAGGGACGACTGTACTAAGTAATAGCTGTAGGCTGCCAGCCTCTCACTGTACAAATATCAGATTACCTTTCACGTTCACTGGCAGCCTTATCAGCCGTCTTGACCAAGTTGAGCTGGTACACTTTAGTGCCGCACTCGTAGGGAAATCCGTACTCACTGGTTCCGTATATACACTACAGCAAACACGACCAATCACAGCCAACACAGCAACACCAAGAACAACTGAGCCATCAGCTGAAACAAGTTCCACATTTTCCCGGCTCCAAGGCAACTTATTATGATTTTCTATGCACAAAAAACGAAATTTAAAAACTCGGTGTGGACTTTCCCCAGCTGGGATTCGACATAAACTGCGGCCTGGATTTTGTTTTAAGGTGATCTACTGCCAGAGGCAGATTGGGAAAGCCTTTTATTAAGCATTATGTGACCGCGATAAGAATTGAGACGCGTGGACCAATGATAACAGCATACAGTACTGTCGACTAAGAACGGAGCGCCGAAGAACGGCCAGGCTAGAATTTCATCAAGCACAGCATACCAATGTATACACGGTGACTCAACTGCACATGGACTGTAGGAGGCTGCCCCCCCCCCCCCCCTAGTTCTTCGGCGACCGACAGTACTGTAGTGTTTATGGCAAGCCACGCAACAACTCCAGCTACTTATCACCCAATGCTCACAGACCTCCAGCACACAACTCCAGCTACTTATCACCCAATGCTCACTGACCTCTAGCACACATGTCGCTTTTGAATTTATTGTAGTGCAGACGGCCGTCTTGAAATCCTCCTGGGGCAAGCACGAGAACAACCAAAGTAATGTTGCATCAGATACCAAACAGTTGGTCGTGACTTTGACCACCGGAATGATGTACATGTGACGGATATTTCACCGAGGGATGACTGTCCTGTATGGACCCCAGTGCAATGAGATCTGAACCGGCAGCATAGTGGACCAGCGTATGTGCGCTCCAATCACATGCCCAGACAGGCTTACCACACGCCTCAGCAAGTCAGGTATCTTCCACATGTTCACTTCTCCACTCGCTGATGTCAAATGCATCCCTACAGCAGAAGGAGCATTATATCAAGACAGTGCAGCAGCAGAAGATTTAAAGAACAGTGGTACCAGAACATAAACGGCATGCAATCGTTCAGACTGTCCGAAGTTGCTGGTGTACAGGAAGACAGGCATTTCTAAAAGCGTCATGACCATGAATTTCCACTGTGCTAAAATTCTGTGCTGTCACTTGATGCCGGAAAGCTGATCTGCAGCTGCGGTCCATCTTGGCGTCAGTCGGAGCCCGTTTAACAACTGAGACGTTGTCAGCAGGCCCTACATGCATCACTGCAGTATATAGCATGTCAGAGTAGTACATACTAGTGGACCACGGCTTACCAAGGACAATGTGCTTGGAGGCTTTGTTCATTGCCAGAACATCCGCCACTACTGCGGCGGCAAACAGCTCCAGTGCCTGTGTCGGATATCATAGGAAGACGGGCGTCATTCGGTTAGACGGGTTCACAACCAAAGAACCGGGGACCAAAAACTGAGGGGAGAGGAGGGGGGGGGGGGGGGAAGGGGCAGGCAGAAGCGGTGATACAACATACTGCATGTAAGAGAGTTGGAGGAGGAGGGAAGTAAAAGGTAAAAAAAAAAAAGTGCACCTACGGTCACAGCCAGCCCATGTGCATTACATAATATGATTTCAGCAGGTATCGTGTCACCATTGCATGTGCTGAGTGCATACCTGACCACACATAGATAGATGTGAATACACATGTAAAGCACAGATGATTAAGAAGACAATTCCAGCGCACACAGACCTGATCTTTTGACGGGCCCCACAGCAAATAGTCTAGTTGCACTTCCAAGTTGACGGCATGCTCCAGTAGCGACCCTCTGAAGATGAAGCTACCATTGACTGACCCCACCACCAAACACTATGCAAGGGGAGAGAGAGAGAAATAGAGATAGAGATAGAAATAGAGAGATAGATAGATAGATAGATAGATAGAGAGAGAGAGAGAGAGAGAGAGAGAGAGAGAGAGAGAGAGAGAGAGAGAGAGAGAGAGAGAGAGAGAGAGAGAGAGAGAGAGAGAGAGAGAGAGAGAGAGAGAGAGAGAGAGAGAGAGAGAGAGAGAGAGAGAGAGAGAGAGAGAGAGAGAGAGAGAGAGAGAGAGAGCATCTGCATCATGATCACGGACACCGCAGTAACATGCTGACATTCGAAGTTACATGAAAGTCTGGCCAGTACAGATTAGTGCATTACACAGATCAGTAGGACTAGGAGCACACGTACATCAAAGTCTTCCTTCGGCTTGATTGCAGCTTGCGCCACTGCAGCGAGCGATTCAACCAGCCAGCGTAGCTCGACGACCTTGGGTGGACAAGCAAACTGAACAATGCGCTCCAAGCCCCACACTAGCCGACGGTTGTCCGAGACAAGCAGCCCAACTCCTTCCGGCGCAAACAACACCGGGATCAGTTCTACAACACAAAACCAACATGGAGACATTGGGCAATAATTTAGGGGTGAAACGAGTATCTATTTTGACCAATCGATCACTCATTCATAATATTCGATCGAGTATCCGATTATTTCGAGTATTTTATCAAAATTCAAAAGCGCTAGATTTGTGAGTTCTCGACCAATTCGGAAGAAATTATCTGTGAAAAGTCGCCAACGTCTTGTACAGAGTGTAAATTAGCGATTTTCACCAATACTTTCATTATCTCATAACAAACTAACGTTACTTGCCGTGGTGATCGCATCATCCAAGTCATAAAATACTGACTCAAAGGCATGCATAACGCATGCATACCAGTCGATGAGCGGTACAACAGAAGTTTTTGAAAAAATAGAATGCCAATACTAAAAAAAAAAAAAAAAAAAAAAAAAAAAAACATCGAGTGCAAAATTTCGAATACTCGCTCGTTTGAAATTTTCGAACGAATACTCGAATATTCGAACTAATCGTTTCACCCTTAGCAATAATTATGACACTAGTTGTGATGCTGGTGTGTAGACCGTAGAGGCATCACAAACACCAACTTGCAACCCAATACATAGCATATCTGATGACGCCTTTCACGTACCCTCAATCCAGGTTGTTTTCACATTCTCAGACAGAGGCTATTGATGAGAGGGCAAACCATCTCAGTGTGAACATGGAGGAGAGAAAGAGAGACCAATGATACTTACTGGGTTGATAATGGTCGCCAACTGCCAACCGTGATCTGCAATACACACACACGTGTAGAGCACGAACACATGCACACACAAGTATTCACTTGTATTTAATATAGACATACGAGTTTGTACACACACATGATGCCGGTTCGCGTGCCGACCGATATTGAAAGAAATACATTGTTCTACCTCTTCCGGAGGGATTCCGACGGCTGCTGCCAACTGATAAAGTTCATTGGCAGATCCACTCTGGTAGTAACCATCGGTGGGAGTGTGGGCAATGAACACTACAAACAAGGCGCATTGCATATGCACCTGAAAAGAATGACTGTGTTGATCAACGTGAATTTAAGCCCCCCCCCCCCCCACACACACACACCTGCTACTTTCAGGGGCGGATCCATGAGGGCTTTCAGGGGTTCGTGGAACCCCCTAAATTCCGTAAATGCACTACTGGCAACCATATGCGTGTCCATGTACATGTATCATCTATTCAGTTTTGACTACAGTATACTGGACCCCCCTGTAAAGATCGCTGGATCTGTCGCCGACACTACATGATACTAAGCATACATTACATGATGTTAAGCATACACTGATATACACACGCATGCAGCCTGAGTTAGGGCCATTGCAGTGGACTGCTGTGCCCCAGGTGCTTTCTGAGTTGAAAGCAACTGGTCGCAGGTCCGAGTTTCGGGTGATCCGGATCTCCGTACCATCGTCCGATAAGAAAACGCAAGCCGCTGAGGCTATTTTGGTTTCCGATATTAAACAACCCACTTTTAATCTTTACCTACTGCACTTACCTCTCATGTTTAACCAGTGCTAAGTGACGTAGCTGTGAGTATGGCGTGAACGGCAGGTGTGAGCCGCTCAGGGCACGGCTAACCATGCAAGCCAGCTCAGGTATGACACCGTGCCGCTTCAAATACCGCTCGGTGATCTGCACGACTTGACTGCTGTTGCATTGCTGCTGCTGTTGGTGGTGTTGCCTCCGCCGCTGCTCGCCTGTGCTAGGCGTACGCGTGCCCGATAATGACCCCATGTCTGGTATCAGGCCGGCGACCAATGACCGGATGATGTCATCGCTTACATCATGGTTCAAAGCGGAATGTACTTGCTGTGCCATGTGACTGTCTGCTGGCTGGGTGGCTGCTGCTGCTGTAGGTTCCCGGAGAGGAATGCTGGGAGCAGTATCGCCTGCATCCATACCAGCAGTGCCTGCGGGCTCGAAGGTGTCGTTCGGTGTCGCCGCTCCGGGATCCCCCGCTGACTCCCCGGCTGAGTGGTGGCGACTGGCTGAGTCCACCGCTGCATCCACATCGTTATCTCGAGTGCTGGCGGTCGCCCCATTGCCGCCGCTCCGCAGCAGAGCAAACAATCGCTTGCGCTTGCCCATCATGCACCGGCTGCTGTGTCAGGTCGTGTGTGTGTGTGTGTGTGTGTGTGTGTGTGTGTGTGTGTGTGTGTGTGTGTGTGTGTGTGTGTGTGTGTCGGGGTGCATAGGGCGCCGCTCCGATCACATGCAACACAATGAAAACAACTCATGTACAGAGCTCGCAGTGCCGGTCTACGCTGTGCTGCATGTCAGATAATATCAGCTCACTGGACTAGCGTCTTGCTAGCCACTGGTGGCAGTAGCATTGCACAGCAGCTGCCTTCAATGATTTAAAACCGTGAGTTAGGAATTACAATTCTGCATTCTTTCTCTCCGTCCACAAGCCCGCTGTATGAGTAACTCTGTGGTCTCAGCCTGAACTGCAGAGTGCTGCAGTCCGTCTCGGAAGCCGAGAAAGCAAGTGCCCAATAACCATAACGTTACACTCGTAGCGACTTCAAAGGCATCACGTTTACTCCGTTTACTATGTTCTAGCGGCGTGGCGAAATGTTCCGGACCATGAACGAGGTCAGCAAGCGCGCGAAGCATTCAAACTACTTCCCGGTCCCGACTCCAGGCCATTCATTCTTCGTATGACTATGGCCAGTATGGGTCAAGACTCATAATAATGAGGACAGAGCCCTACATGTGGATCAACGAGCGACAACCGGCCACTCGCTAGATCGCTGTCGAGAACAAAACAACAAGTCATCCGAGTTGGAGCAGGGCAGCAGTGGAGGAGACGATGGAGAGACTAGACACCGTTGTCGTTGACCTTGCAAGATTGTAGATCTAGTCTTTTTGTAGTACTCGTACCGGTACTAGCAGCTACAGACTACAGACTTAGTACAGCTAGCTCGCGCCTTCCCGTTCCACGTAATCGTTGTGTGGTTGTTGAGGTATTTAGCGGCAAAACTGCAAAAAAATTCAGACTTCACACGAAAATGGTGCAGTACGATCGTAGGATTCGTAGCTGTACTGTGAGTCTGTGACGTTTCGAGCAACACGTGAACACGGTCATGTCAGTCACATGCACATGAGATTGAATTTTGAGATTTGAAATTTCAATGTCAGAGACAGAGGTGTATTTCTGTTCACTTGTAAGTGTAACTAGCAAACAACGGCTGAGTGTGCCTGGTCCAGTGGCAGTGCTGAATGAAGATCCTTGCCTAAATGGGGATGGAAAAATGATGGTAGAAGATTTGCACTGACTTCTACGTAGAGCTACGCGGAGACACTTTCTCTGTGGTGACGATGCCACCCAAAGGCCTATCAATTGAAGATGTGCAGGACGAAGATTTGTATGCGTTTCTTCATGTACAGGAAAAAGCAACTGATAAGGAGGTATGGGGAAGCATAGAGTACTAGAATTGTTTTGTCAGTGTTTGCAACCATTCGGATAAGTCGCATGTTGAAATTCAAGAAAAACTGGGACAAAACACAGGCAAATTGTGATTATAGTTTTTTTGGGATGAATTCTATTTTAAATAGCTTAACCTTTTAACGTAAATTCTATTTAAACTCGGATACTGAGCCAGTAATAGAATGTAAAAAAAAGAGAAGAAACACATGAGAACGAGTTATGCAGCAACTATCCACGACTGTAACAAGATGATAAACGGTCAGAAAGTGCAGTTTTGTGCCCTATTATCACACTTTCTGGCCGTTTATCATCTTGTTACAGTTGTGGATAGTTGCTGCATAACTCGTTCTCATGTGTTTCTTCTCTTTTTTACTAAATTCTATTAATTTTGCTTTGATCTTGAAGTCTATTTTAGTTTGATCCTGATGAAGCCCACATACAACATGGATAATATACCATAAAGTACCACGAGAGCGCCCCACCACCTCGTCCTTTCGTGGTCGTACTGTGGGGGTGGTGTCCTGTCTGTAGATCATACGGCACGAACCTTGTACACACATTGCACATTGTGCAGTTAGTTCATACTCTACTAGTATTTATCTTCGAGCGGACACAATCTCCACACAAAATCTGCTAAGTGTGACCTTTGTACACTAAGGTTCTCACGCCGTACAAACTCCGTTACACGCTGCCATACGATTTTCATTTCCCTGGCTGTAAAATCAAGGTGGGGCTCTCTCGCGAGATGGGGCACTCTCATTATCGGCTAGCCCCCTGTCAGGGAAACCTTTGGAGTCGCTGACGTTTGTTCCGTGGTGTGTGTGTGTGTGTGTGTGTATGTGTGTGTGACACACTGCCTTTGGCCTTGCAATACTTTGTTCTGCTCAGTAGTCAGCTTGACGGGGCGTAACGAACTTGGCCTAACAATAGCACTGCCTTTGACCTTGCACTTCTTTCTTTTTGTGCTCAGCTTGAGAGTGCATACAGAAAGCTTGCTCTGAAGTGGCATCCCGACAAGAACCCAGACAATGCGGAAGGTGAGGGTCTGTTCCTTCAATTCCACAGTTCTAGTTCTAGTACTGAAGCACTACTTCCCTATCATGACAGTTGAGGTGTGGTAGAAAAGTAGAGGACACACTGCAAAAGAGAATGTTCCTGACTACAGCTGTAGTTTGCATATCCTTTGAGCGGTAATAGGTGATCTGTCTCTATCCAACATGCAAGGCACACTTTGTGTATATATTATGACATATACTATTGATTATACTAGTTTCCACACGTCAGCACTTGGTAGTGAAACTCAGGACGGCTGAAGCATTGATTTTGTCGTGTGCTGGAAAGATGGACCAGCTCCTCTGGGCCCAACTGCGCCTTGAACTGAGTGGTTCCTCTGACTTGGAGATTATACGGTCATTCAAATTTGAAATCTTTGCCAGCGAGAACCCTTTACCCTGTTTTAGCCAAGAGCCCGGGCATGGTGCAATGTTCACTGCATACGTCAGTATTGCTCACCTCTGTCTCTGTCTTTCTTTCTCTCTCTGTCTGTCTCTGTCTCTGTCTGTCTCTGTCTGTCTCTCTCTCTCTCTCTCTCTCTCTCTCTCTCTCTCTCTCTCTCTTTCTTTCTCTCCCTTTTATTGTGTTCTGTGACATCATGTTCAGCTGCTGATTTATTCAGGAAGCTTGTCAAAGTTACTGAGATCCTCAAGGACAAGGAAGCGCGTGCGGCGTATGATCAACTGCGCCGTGCCCGCCATCTGCAAGAGCTGCGCAAGAAGGAACTGAATGCGGAGCGCCGGAAACTGCGAGAAGGTAACACTGAACGCACTGCCCTGATCATGCAGTATAACAATCAGGGCACAACTTACTAGTATTTCAAAGCTTTTATTGCATGGTGCATTTGTAAGTGTCATTGCTTCAGCTAGACATGATTTGATATGATTATATTATATAGATACGACTATACCGTCTTGCTACTTCTTCAAAACCCAGATGAGCCATTGCAGCTATTTCCACATTCTGAAGAATTTTTCCCTCATCTCAGTCTCTCACGGCGATATACATACTGTGTTCAATTCATTCCAAACTCTCACCTCATTGGGTATCTTCGGGAATCGATCAATTGAAAGACTTGACGTGTATTAGCTGACATTACAAGAAGAGATGCACTATACACTATAGTGTTGAAGGCCATGTGTGGTACCAGTAGTGGCAAACAGGCGGGTATTTGAATTTGTTTTTTTCTAGATTTGGAGCGCCGGGAGGCAGCCCACAGTGACAATGTCGTCAGCGAGCGACAGGCTCGAGAGGGACTGGCCGCCAAGATACTGCGCCTCAAGGAGGAAGGTGCCGCGCTGGTCAGAGCGTCTGAACAGAAGCTACGTGACGAGTGGGCCCAGACACAGGCTGAACAGCGTGAGTAGCCCCTGAACCAGTGTGATGATTGTGTAGGGGGTATTTTGTAAACCGCCCAATATTGGTGTCACTAAATTTTCGCGATTTTTCAGAACCAGCGAGTTTTCGAGGGCAAATTTTCGCGGAACACGTGGCCACACACATACACCACTGTTTGATCACGATATTCGCGTTATGCTCTTCTCACAAAATTAGCAAACATTAATACGTCGCAAACATTGGGCAGTTTACAGTCATGTACTTGATATTGTGTTTTTTTGTCATCTAGAGGCTTTGCTTTCCACCATTGTTGTCTTTTCATGGAGTCACTAGTATTCGGCACTAATGTTGGTATGTTGGTAGTGTCTGTGAAGTAGCTTGTTGCGTATTTGTTTGGTTTTCTTCATATTGTTGCTCCCCACACCTGAGACTTCTCTCTCTCTCTCTCTCTCTCTCTCTCTCTCTCTCTCTCTCTCTCTCTCTCTCTCTCTTTGTCTCTGTCTCTGTCTGTCTCTGTCTGTCTCTGTCTGTCTCTCTCTCTCTCTCTCTCTCTGTCTCTCTCTCTCTCTCTCTCTCTCTCTCTCTCCTCCATTGCCATTTCCCCCTGGTCTCACAATGTAGTGGCTGCCGCTAGCGCCGCAGCTGAGGCAACAACCGCTCAAGTTCATGCTGTGAAGGTAAGCAGTGCATGTCATGTGCTGGTACGAAAACATAATTATGGGTCATTGAGAGATTTGACTGTTATGCATGCCATCCACTCTTAGCCCTTTTTTCTTTTCTTTTTCTACTGAATCTTGCTATGTCTGGCAGTTTTCTACATGCGTGTATTACCAAATGTACCATGTACTGGTACTTGTATATGCACTGTGTGTGCTGGCAATGGGGGCCAGACGGGGCGATCCGAGGTTATTTGGAGTTCTTAACGCTACTGAAGTGAGAGCAGATCTGCCCGTATGTGGCGCATTAACTAGTGAACAGCTGGTACTGTTCGTCATAATAGCCGCTGCCTATGGTTGCCTGTGTGTAGGTTCGTTGGAAGAAGAGCAAAGCGTTTGCAGAGGACGACATCCGACGGCTTCTCTCTCAGGTCAGTGTTATGAAGCCAACATGTACGACGTGCCCATTAATGGGCATTAGTGCCATTCAGATATAGATATTTATTAATTATTCCATCGCTCTATCTCTACTTTTTTTCTTCCTTTTTTGATGCACTCGTCCAATACAATGCAAATGCACCAGAGGAAGGGATTGTGCATACCGGTATTGCTATTGCTATTGGTTGAAGTAGGATACCCAAGGAAGCTTTGCCGGGGGGGGGCATTGTGATAGGGGGGGGGGGGGCATTGTGATGGGGGGGGGGGGGGGCATTGTGATAGTAGAGTGTGATGAGTAGTCAATAAACTAATTTTCAAAAGTGTACAAATCCTGAAACCTCCAATTCATGAGCAGCGAATTTTTGTAAAATTAACCCTGGACACCCAGATATAGGTATAGTAGCGCTGTACGATGGTTTAGCAGGCAACAAACTTTGGGAAAGTCTAAATCCCTTACGTATTTCACAAATGCTTACAAAAGTTTCGTCGATTTGCGGTGTTGATTTCTCGCTTGAGATATATATGTAGTTTGTGTATTCTCTGTCTGGTTACACGTGCATGTGCATGTTTTGCAGTTTGGTACACTTGGTGACGTGGTCATGTCGGCAAAAGGTGGTCGAGCCCTCGTGGAATTTGAGAGCCATTCGTGTGCCGTAAGTTTTGCTCTTCCCTGCTCTAGAAATTTTCTTTTAATGGATTCAGCGTTCTTCCATGTGTTTGTGACCTCATTGGCGGTTGACTGTGCTCACCACTACCACCAAGTTCCTATAGTGAACTGACCCTTTCTTCCCCCAGCAAAGTCTCAGCCTGTATTACCACTGGATAGAGATTGGGCGTATTGCCACTTTGCAGTCATGGTATACCACTGATTTGTAACAGAAGTTACAGAACATACTTGTAACGTGCTGCTGCGAAGTCTCAGGGCTCTTCCTTAGGGTGCGTTCTTATACTCTCTTGTTTCTAGAAGAAGAAGAAAAGAGAAGTCGAAGAAACTGGGATTACTCAAGAACGGGTCTCGAAGAATTCGGAGATATTTTGCACATGTCAAGCAAAATGAAGCGTCAAAGGGGCCGCGATCTTGAGTGATGAATGTATGTGCGTATGCGAAAAGGGAAATGCGTACACTCATGATGAACACGTGGCTTTTAGTCGTAGTTCGCATGTGCTGATCCCAAACCGCGGGAATCTCCAAGTTTCAACCACCTCTGAAGCTTGGAGAGCTTTGGAGAGCCTCCTAAAAGTCGGAGAGGATATAAGAACAGCTCTCGAACTTTTCGGAGAGTCTCCAACTTTTCCGAGAGGATTTAAGAACGCACCCTTATTCTCAGGATGCAGATCACAGTCGTAAATAACATGGATGGGCACGTTGAGTCTTGCAGACGAAAAAAAGATCAATTTTCAGAGCAGCTGTGCGTGTTTGTAGTGAACTGCGGGTATCTGTTGAAGTCGTGGCAAGTCCCAACACTCGATGCGTATATTACATCCCTGTGCTGTTTGTTCAACTTACAGGCCCTGGCTGCGGAGACCGGTTGCCCCGATCTCACCATCACACTGCAATCATCTGCTCCTGCTGACGCGGAAGCGACGCCTGCCGCATCGTCACCGTCGCCAGCATCGCACACGCAGGCCAGCAGCAATTCGCCATTACGCAGACCTCCGCCTGCTATGTTTGCCTCCGCAGCTGCTTCAGCAGTGCCACCTCCGTCGACGGCAGGATCCCATAACACGCCCGCTTTCCCAGCGGCAAAGCGGAAAGTCACAGAAGAAGAGGTGTTTGCCATGATGAGGCTTGCACAGCAGCGAAAAGACCAGCAAGCTGCAGATCAGTAGTGTCTGCTGACCAGTAGTGTCTGCTATACTCTATAGTATAGTACTCTGTATTATAGCGTACAATCGTACATGTACATACAGACCAGGGAGTCGTAAAATACCTACTCTACGACTTCCTGATGCAGACCAGTGTAAATCCTCTGCATAAAGACCAGCAAGCTGCAGACCAGTAGTGTTGCCTGTCTGCTAGCATACATGTACATACAGACGAGTGTAACTCCTTTTTTCTTTTTTTGACGAGTGTAAATCCTCTGCATACAGCACAGATGAGTGCAAGTCCTGTACATACTGTATATAACACAGAAGAACCTTTACTACCGGTCACAGTGCTCGAGACCACACAACCCCGACTATAGCCCCAGTCTCCTGATGATTGCTTTTCAGCATAAAACTCGTGAGTAGAGACATTTAATCACTTTTTTAAAGTTTTTTTGTTCGACCGGATTTTCGTGCATACTGTATATAAGATGTACAATGGCATGTACATACCATGTCCCTCCATCTACCACCCATGACTTTCTCGAGGTGATAGAACACATGTATAATAGTACAAGGCCGTCACAGGCGGCTGAGGCCGCCCCACTTTTGCAGCCGATTTTTATTTATTTTTATTTTTTGGTGCTCACTGTAACATTAAGTCTGAAATGGCACCAAATGCCCTGAAATGCTTGCAATTGGCTTCAATTTTGAAATTCTTCCCCCCCCCCTCCCCTTCGGAGCTTCCATGGCCGTCCATCTCCAAAGTCAGTGCAACGGCCGGCCTGTAGCATACTTCCATCTCATCCCCCTCCCTCCCCCCCCCCCCCCCCCCTCCACCCACTTGTGTCACATTTTGATTGTGACATTCGAAATGGCCTTGATCCTTGACCGGGTGGTGGCGTTCCTATGGATGTGGAAAACTTAGTACTAGTACACGTGTTGTGTTATCTTTCTTTCCTTGTGCAATTGCTGATTTTATCTGTTTAGTTTGATGATTGGTGGTTCAGTAATCCTCAGGAAATGCCGCAGAGAACATTCAGCGATGGTGAGTTGCCTCAGCCTGCTCACTACCATCAAGTCAATTGGTATTCCACGAGCGACACTTTCTTCAGTGCACACATTATTAATTTTTAAAGAGAAAAAGAACCCAGAAGGTTTTTCCTTGGTAGAGCTACTCGACACGTCTCTAGGCTAGATACGACATTGTCAAACAGTTTGGCACCACCTGTACGTGCATGACTCTGCACAGTGAGTATCCATATCCCAATCATGACAACTCCTTCAACTGTGTTCAACTTTACGTTTGCACCTCCATCTGTGTACTCCACAGAGTAGCAGTGGCGTTCCTAGTTTTGACTCGAGTGTCAGATTTGCATTATGTGGTCACTCTTTACAGACTGTTGAGGTGAGTCGGAAACGCCAAGGCTGCGGCCCCCACATTGCCAATGATATGACTGTGAGTAGTGTGTTACAGCAGAGTGGGGGATAAATACACATAATGCCACTGTCGTGTACAGTAAAACCTGTAATGGCGACCACTCGGATATGGCGACCACTCGACCATGGCGGCCACTTTTCCGTGTCACGGACGCATTCACATTCAAAACACCTCGGATAAGGCGACCACTCGCTCAACGCGACCGGCGACCACCCACCCGCGACCGCGTTGCACAGTGCTAGTCATGTAAATGTATGCATTGCATGGTGCACCAGGCATGGTAGATCTACACATCAGTGCAAGAAGTGTAGATGCACATGGTGCATGCACAACATTTGACAGGTCTGAGGACCCCAGGCACATGAGTCGTGCTAGAGTAGCATAGGTGTGTGCACTGTGATGCACTGATCAAAATGATGTATCACATGTGGATATGGTCACGTGACCCACTGAACCTGGATAAGAAGACCACCTGGCCACGGCGACCACTTTTTCTCGTCCCTTGAGGGGTCGCCTTAGACAGGTTGTTTCACTGTAGTCCCCAGTGATACATGACGTTACACCCTAGCTGGACAATTAGAACCACATCCAATGCAGAACCCAGCGCCGGGGTTGCTGGTGAATGACGTCATTGCATAATATGCATTGCATACAGCGGCAAACCAGTGTGTGTGTGTGGGGGGGGGGGGGGGGGGGATGCCACACAAATCATCTCCGAAAATGATGACACAATCGCCTTCTACGTTATGTCTTTGTACTTTATATATGGATAGACTAGATACTAACATTCACAGTTCACACCCTGGAAATATGCACTATCATAGTGTAGTGTTTTGGTGACACTACTAGCAGCTGCTCAGTGAATTCTGGGCGCCGGGAGTCAACTAGCGCTGATGCTGTGCAGCCCCAAACATGTGGGGGCTGTACAGGGCGGTAATATGCTATTCAGACTACGGCCAGATTCACGTCTGAACTTGAATTTCCATGGTGATGCAGCCTACGGTCGTGCTTCAAAAAAAAAAAAAAAAAAAAAAATTTCACGGTTCGCGTGAGACTCGGCCAAAGGCCCAGTTTTCCGCATCCGCAGGAACGCCACCACCCTCTTGGATCAAGGCGCAGATGCAGATGCTTCAAATGATAATGTAAAATCGCTGATCAAAAACGTCCGAGTCATGCGAACGTGGTCACAGTTGGCCGTAGTCTGAATAGCCTATAACTTGGCTATAAGCCATTTTAATTCATGAGCCCACCGGGTAGCACTGCAGACCTCAAGTAATGTTGTTGGGATGATGATGATTGGAGGATCATAATTATTGCTGGACTTTCGATTCAGCCTTTCCAGCTCCAGTCGTACTAAACTCATTTTCAAACTCTGGTATTGGTAATGGTACACTGGGCACTGAGCACCTGCACCGCCACTAGCCTGGTACTTCTCCCTACATGATTGCATTGGATTATTTTGACCACACACCACTATGAAGTATGGTCCATGAGGTGATTATGATGTTGCTACTGGCACTGCATCTAGACACTTACCACTGTCTTGTCGGAGCTGGTCCTGCAATCCTAGAGTAGAGAGCCTCCCTGGCCATGCTGACTTGGCCATGTAATGCCATGCACATGGCGGATGCGGCTGGTACAACAGTGCAGTGGCATGACAATTGGCAGGTGTCATTTACCGTCAACTGTCAGAAGATGCCCAACGGAGAGCGCTAGAGCGGACCTGCCAATGCCAGTCGGCAGTTTGTCAACTACGCCCAGTCCACACCGTGGTCAGTCTATGTGGTGATTATGGCGATGTAACGATAGGTGAGGCTTGGAAGTAGCGGACTCCCGCTAGATGCCATGGCTGATCTTGTGCCGACTTCTAGAGATCTCGAGATCCATAATGCACCACCCGTCCTCTGTTCGCATTCCACACTGTCAGACTCATAGAGTAGGCTGTCCGGGACTCATCTCCTCGACTATTCAGCAAGCCTTGCTGAGTGCAACAGTCGCAGCCACGGCAACCACGTCGCTCCTGGACTGGAGTGCGCGGAACGGAATACTTTTTTTGAACAGCTTCCCAAAATCGTGGTCCTCATCGACTTTGCAGCCAGGAGTTGACTTCGAGGTTTTGTTGCCGCTGTGGCCGTGGATGAACCACACTCAGGTGTCGCTTCACCTTCTAGTTTGCTCCAAGACCTCGGCTAGAAAGGACCTGAGCCCTTGTTCGAATACAAGTGCTGGCTGCGATGGCTAGCACCGACGTTCCGGATGGCACTCCGCCAATGAACCGACGACGGCGCGCGCAAGGTGGCAGTAGCAAGCGCCGACCGACGGAGTCCACCTCGTCCCTGTGTGACCAGTGCCGTCAAGTGCCCTTGCCCGGCCACAAAGCTGCCTATCTGGGTCACATTCAGTGCCTGGAAACACTGCATCGCGACGCGCCCGGCAAGCTGGAAATGCAGGATCGCAATGGGGCTGTGCCGATCCATCTGGCAGTCCGGCAGTGCAACGTCGATGCGTTGAAGTGAGTAAACCCCTCTCACACTTCCTGCCGCCCTTTCCGAGTTATTTACACGCTACAGTTGACAGAGTTGTAGCTACACTGCTGGGCTCATGGGCTGCTGTTGAGCACGAACGGTGACAAAATACATGTAGTGACCATCCGCGGTATTATTTCTACTAGTTCAAGGTTTCTGTACAATTCAGGGTTTTTGTAATACTACTAATAGGGACAGAGGCATGCGGCATGGCAGACTGTTGAATGACTGCCACTTGAATCTGATCTATTCCCCATTTCCAGGACGCATGCTTCGTACAAATGAAGACCGTGTTGTTACATACAGTACTAAAAACTTGCAGTTTTCATACAACTAACTAACTTTACTTTTGCTCGGGATGACGTGCACAGTAATGATAGGCATGATATTCAGATAGGGCCGAGCATTAGTAATCACCTGGCAAAGGCATTGAGCCCCCCCCCCCCCCCCCCCCCTACCACCATCACCATCACCACGACACACGCACACGTACACGCACACACACATGCGCGCGCCCGCGCACCCGAGGTACACGGTAGATAG